TGTCCCCATGGCCGCGGAGGCAGCTGCCGGGGTCGGCGCGGGGTCAGCAACGGCCGCCCCACGGGGTCAGCAACGGCCACCTGGCCTGGGGTCAGCAACGGCCACCTGGCCTGGGGTCAGCAACGGCCGCGCAGTCACCGTGCAGAACGGCCCTTCCCAGCGCTCACAGGCCTCATCCGTGAGGAAACCCGGAGCCAGCGCGGGGCAGCCACACCAGCACATGCGTGTGCTTTGCTTTTTAAACTGAAACAGCTCAGGGACTAATTAAATTCACTTTGAAAAAAAAAAAAAAAAAAAGAATTTCAGTGATCCGCGCCTGAGTTCGAGCACAATGAACTGTACTCTGGATTCATTTCAAACTGTATGAAAAGAGCTATTCAATGAAATTCTTTCCAGCAAATATTTCTTGCACACAGAATTCAACAATTATTAATTTACATGTTCACAATAGCAGCAATAGCAGTGTAATTTAACATTTTTTTCTTTTCCCCCTCATTCCAGGCTGTTTTGTCAATAGCCACATTCAGTTGTGCTTATTTATAGAATGCAAGTGAAGACTCGATAATAAAGAGCTCCTGCCTTTTGGGAAAATCCCTCTCTGTTATGTTCTACTGATCCATGAAATACTTGACAGGAAGAGAAACACATTGATGTGCTATTCGTATCATTACTTAAGGTTTTAAGCAGTTGATCTTRAGGACATGTATTGCCTTCCAGTGTCCCCTAAGAGATGGGGCCACGTACATGGATGCCAGTGGGACTGCAGGAGCTGCCAGTAGGATGAAGGAGGAGAGCCAAAGGATAGGGGGGGATCATGCAGCCCTTGCAGGGCAGATGCAGTGACATGGCAGCCTGACCAAGGAGCAATGCAGCAGGAAATACTCTCCTTGATACCTGGGTTTGCTGCTGGAAGGCTCCGGGAACTTAAGCTTAAACATGCCTTAAATATTTGAGAGCACTTAAGTCACTGCCCATCTTTGCATTTCGTTAGTGTAACTAGATATGGTACCAAATAACATGATGCTCAACATTCAGTGAAACAGGAATGGAAGGGCTTGTAAATGACAGTAGCCAGCAACAGCCGCAGAACTTCTAAGTTAGTGTGAAAGTCTCATCCCATGTTGCCCATTGCAAGAAAATGAAGATCATTAAGTTGGGAGAGGCTTCACCCTACTTGGGGTCACCACCTAGCAGTTAGCTGGCAAGGTCTGAGCTGGTCAGTGCAGCAGCCCTGTAGTCAGTGGAAACAAATGCAGACTTCCCAGGAGGTCGGATGAGTCACACAAACACAGCAGGGCTTCTATTTTTCCAGAACGCTCTTCCAACAACATGAACTTTAGGAACTGCGAGCCAGTGTCTGCAGCTTTGTGTGAAAGGCCGTCAAGGGCTCCACAGCATGTTTCTTGTTACAGTTGGCCACGTACTCCTACCCTATCTTTCCAAGATTTTAAATGGTACTAACACTCATGAAGACCTTTCTTCTTCCCATAAGTGCACAGTTCCTTTAAAGACTTGTACTCACACTCATGAAGTTCTTAAAGGAACTGTGCACTTATGAGAAGAAGAAAGGTCTTGTAGAAAAAGACCTTATCAAGTATCTTTTCAACTTCCCCATTGTCCACCTTACGTTGTGCAAACTTTTGCTGACACCATTTAATCCTTTCAAGGTGTTCCAGTCTGTAAGCTCGCCCTCCAATCTGTAAGTTAAATTGRCTTCCATAGTATATTTATTCAGATTTCCACCAATATATCCTTTATTACTGCTTCKAACAGTTTTTCATGTGTGCACACTAACCATCAGTTTCCCCAAATCGCAGCAGCCCCTTTGCAGTCCTGATACCAAGCCCACATGAAATGGGTAGTAACTGCTATTTGGAGTGCCACCTTTTAACTGCTTTGCTACTTGAATTCTTTTAAAATCCTTTAGTGAATATTATCTAGTCCCAATTCATTTGTCATCATATGGTTTTTGGTTTATTCTATAACTCTTCTAACAACTCTTAGACTTAAAATGATGCTATGCCACCCCTTTTAACCAGTGGGAGTCAAGGTTCTCATTACAAATAAATGCCTAGCTTTGTTCATGAGCTTCTATATAGACATTTCTTTCTTAAATTAACTCATTACCTGCAAGCATAGCCCAGACAGTGTAACCCCTTCCATAGGTCTTCGGATAATATTTTGCCAATARTAAGGAGGCTTGGAAGCGTACTTCCAAAGACCCGAAAGAAAWGAGAACACTGAAATGCCTGAAAGACTAAAACTGCCCCCACAAAAGAGCTCCACATCAGCTTCTCCTGTGGGAACAGAACCATCACCACTCTGGATGCTTCCTCCCATAGGGACAAAACACATTTTTATACATTGACAGGGCCAGATTTATGGTTTGAGGTTTTTACTCATGTTCAGTCATCCAAAGTGTTAAGAACCCATCTATTCGCTTGCTTACTCACCCAGGATGCCAGCTAAGTTACACAGTTCTTCCCTTCAGCTTTCAAATACAGGGTTTTAGCCCCCCAAGTTGCAGTTCAGACCATTTAAACTACCTCTTTATGAAACTATATCCCCCCAGGACGCTCTTASCTTTAGGTCAGATATGACTTCATTGGCAGCAGGCAAGTTCTCAACCAATCTTAACAGAAGCCCTCCAATCTGCACAGAAGATACCTCAGTGACACCAGCTACCACTTACTTTCATTCAAGTTACATGTAACTCAAGTTTCTCTCTCAGCCATTATTTGTGAACAACTGTTTTTGCTCTTTCACTTTTTAACAAGTAGAATCTCCATCTCTTTTAAAGATCTAATAACCTATCTGCATTTAACTCATCAACACTACTACTTTAAAAAAACATATATATATATATACATATATATATATATATATATATAAAGAGCAAGTAACCCAACCAACAATCTCCTCACACCAGGTTGTTTGCAAAAAGACAGTTCAAGATCAGAAGAAACTCCAGGATTCATCAGGAAAGCACTTACTCTTCTTTCCACAAAACACTCACCTTAAAATAAGGTATAAACCTCCTCAGGTAGCCAGTCCTTGCTCTGCCCCACTTTGAGGTGGGATCAGACGCTACCACAGGGACTGAGAAGTGGCAACACCTGGAGGCCATTAAGGCAGCTGCAGTGAGACMCAGCAAATCATGGCTGTAGTTCCTACAGCTTGCGTCCAAGCTCTAGGATGAATCCAAACTTTATAGGGTAGATCCACCTCTCCCATTTATGCTGTAACCAAAGAAGATACGTTTTCAAACTACAGGAAAGAGAGCAATGCTTCTTCTGTAGCTCAGTTTCAATAGACCCTTCTTGTCAACCTGCTCCCTGCTGCAGTTTCAGCTCCTGCTGGTGGTTCCCACAACTTGCCCAGCAGTTGGGACCTCACCAGTTTAAGTTCTTCCTTACACAACAGACTGTTGGTCACTAGGGTCATGTTCAAATAATCCATTTTTCTAACACAGTTGATGAGTGTAGAAGTAATAACTAAGCATATTCCCAGCAGAAACGTGTGCACCAATCCCAGGCCAGTTACAGTAGGACTTGTTAGGATGCTTGTAACACCCGCAGCTGCGTTCCCTGCACCAGCAGCAGATCCCTCTCCCTGGACACGGGACCGCGTGCCACTCAAAAACGTCGCAATACAGACCCTGTCCCTGAGTTTCTGAAGTTCCGTCTGTGGGGCACAGAAGTGCGGAGGACCCAATATTTACTTTTTCGGACTCTCAGCAGTATGGTTTTTATCAAAGGTGCAGGGAACAGATATTTGGAAAGCCTTTTTGCCTTTGGAATTATAAATATCAATCTAATACATTTTAGGCATTTCTGGAAGACAGTTGAGTAAGGCTCAATATTTTGAGAGAGATTTGAGCTTTTAATAGTAGACTCCCTCATCTATTTAACTTACTTTTTTCACCTTAACTTACTTTTCTTACTATTGTTTTAATTATTTAAGTTACCATTTAACCTAATGGAGTTTCCAGGATAGTACGATTCCCAGAGGCCCAGCCTCCCCAGCCTGTTTCGCTGTAGCCAACAAGTGACCAGAGGCCACCCCAGTCCTTGGGTTCTGTTGTCCTCTCTTAGGGCTTTCCCTGAAGGGGGTCACAGCCTCAATTAATTCTATAAAAATACCAGGGTCGCAACAGGGCGGTTACATAAAATCACGTTAATTCCTCAGCAGTTGTGGCCGTGTTTAGAGCTAAGAGCACAACCCACAGACAAGGTTCTCCGGGGTATCTGTGCGCTCTGCTGTGGGCAGAGCGGGCTGCTCTGGGCCCCATGGCCCACGCGTCCCAGCCCGGCTCCTGCCCCCCACAAGGGCAGAACGTCAGAGAACGGCTGCCGTAGCCGACTGGGATAAGGTCTGACTTGGGTAGCAAAGCGTGATTTATTCGTAGGTCCAGTAGCCTGCAGGCCACCAGCTGCACTGGCCGAGGGAAACCACGGGGAAGGATAGAGGTTTTTTCCCAAGTGCCGTCACCCACGTTCTCCCCAAGGATCCCCCTGGTTGCACTTACCTTGGAGTTCTGGGGGAGAGGGGAGGTGGTTCTGTCTGYGTCCTGCAAACACCTGCACAAATCCTCTCTGGCAGACTTCTACRTGTTGGAGAAAATCCTGACACAGGTGGATTCTGATAGATTGAAATGGGTGGAATTAGTCTTTTCAATACTCTTGTGCATTTCCATTTCTTATAAATTGTGTGACCTGGACCTTCTGTGCGCCTGGAAAGCTCTCGTGACAACTCAGGCGGGACCATCTCAGTAATATTCCTAGCTCACTAGGAGCTGGGTGTTAGCAGTGAACRTAGATACCACCATTACCTACAGGTAATGAACCCAGCTTAGCACTTCCAGTTGTATCGTATGCAAACGCTAAAAGATAATGCACAAAAKTACTTTCCTGTGAAATAAAAAATACAATAAAGTTAAGGGCCATGTTTATTTCAGAGCTTTCTGCAAGCAAAATTGCTTTGATACAAAATGAGTTCAATGATACAGTGCTACCATCCATTCAAGCAAAAGAAAACCTCACATTTACATGAATGCACTTTATATTGATATTCTTACAGAATAATAGTTCAAGTATCCAGAATGTGTCTGGCCTCATTGAAAGCAATGGCACAGAAATGCTGCAAGGTATTGGAGTATCATAGGACTGGCAAGTGCTTAATTCACTCTGTGAGTTCTCCAGGAGATGCTGTATAAATACGGGTATTGTGAGCGTGTCTTTGTATTCCTTAGTACTTCCGAGATACATCCTTTAGTGTTGGTTTAGTTAGGTCAAAATGTGTAATTGTGTCTTTTGGCTTTTTCTTTTTTTTTTTTCCTTTTTTTAAAGAAAAATCATGAGGTATCCTTTACTGTTGCCTAATGACATAGTGATAGACCTATTTTATTCAGGTTGCAGAGACTGACTGTACATTCAGTACACTGTACATTCGGTAATTATTTTTAGTGTACTTTCTACACATTACTGTGTACAATTGTTAGTTTACATTAAAACTCTTCCTCCTTCTCACAGGATATGGCATAAACAAAAAAAAAATCTGACAAAAATTATACACATAAAAGAAGAAGACAAATACACAAATAAGGCCATCTGCAGAATTAAAAATCCACCTCCTGCGATATTTCACAATAATTTCTACACAATATTTTACATCTTAGAAACTTAAATATTTATTGCAAAAGTAAACGCCTTTACAGAGCCAAACATATTATCTCTTCAAGGGCTTGCCAGGTTTGCTCGCTAGCGACCTTCTTTTGGGAGTTGGAATTTTGGAAGGCTTTACTGATCCTGGCCGAGAACCTGCTCGGGGCGTCGCTTTGCTTGCAGCAGGAACAGTTTCTGACATGTCCGAGCACACCGACTGGATCTCTGAAATGTCAAAGTCGGAAGCATCGCTGCCCCGGCGGCTGCTCGACCTGCTGCCAGCCTTGCTCCCCGCTCGGCTCGCGGATCTGCTCGGAGTTCTGCGGGGATCTGCAAGGAGAAAAGCAGCCGGGTGAGGAGGGCGAGAGCGGGAGTGTSTCGGGCAGCCCCAGGAGTGACCCGGCCCACAACCGAACCTGGAGGGCTCGGCCAGGCAAACGGGATGGGCCTCAAGGCAGCCCTGCTCTTAGCAACGCTGCCGCCTCCCCCTGAAGAGGGGAAGGGAGAGAGCCGATGCCGAGACACAGGTAACTTAGGCACTAGCCCAGCCCATAAACAACGTGTTATCCCGGCAGCCTTGCTTCATCTATTAGGCATGYGGGAGATGTTTGCCAAACAGTCTCTCCTCTACCATTTTCCATGCTATGATTCAGAATTCAACATCTAGCACCTTTATTTTTTAATACACACATTTGAGATGCAGATAAAAATGCACTGGTTTGAGATGTGTACCCTCAAAATCATATATAGGCAAGCCACGAGTASAAGAAGGAAAATCATTCCCCAATCAAGGAGTCATGAGTAAAGGAGGTTTCTACAAGCCTTTTGAAGTCAARGCCTGTCCAAACAATGCATCATGAAGAAAAAAACCACAGGGATTTTAGACAATAAACATCAATGTGGTTTTCCATAGTTCCCTAATTGTTTACTGAATCTTTGTGACCCTGACAAACCAGGTTCTCTGGATAAAGAAAGTCAAGTTGAAACTGAAATCTTGGGTGCTTCCTTTTTTTTTCCAAGTCAGTAACAGCTTAAAAAATATGCACTACTTGAACAGGACTCTTCGGTACTGCTCAGAGTGCTGACGAGCTATGGTAAGGTGGCCACTTACTCTCCATCCTATTTGAGCATAATTTGGACACTGTCCAGAATCAAGTCCTCTGGTTTCATGTAAATGCCCCTGTCCTAGCTCCCCAGTCCAGTGTCACACTGGACACGGCTCCGCAGTCGGGGTCCGGTGCTTGCACGTGGCGCTGCTGCTGCTGCTGCACGGGAACCCATGAGCAGAGCACCCCTGTCCTGACCATCTGTCCCCCCAGCCACACGGATGTGGAGGCAACAGGACTGCGCCCCTCCAACTCTTCCCAAGCACCTTCCCCACCTCCTGACATGCCCCACAGGGGGAAAAGCTCCAGCTTTAGCTCAGATCAAGCTCTTAAGTCAAGGCACTTACCTGCAAATTGCGCTCTAACTCTGGTGGCTGCTGTTGACAGTATCCCACTGTCCTCTCCAGACTGGAAACCCTTCCCGGAGATATAGCCCGGTAGTCTGAGCTTACTGCCTTGAATTGGAGTTCCCTGTGCAGAAAAGACCAGGGTTGTTTCAGTCACCACTCCTGAGGATAAGGCCTGGTGTTAAGCAGCAGAGTTTCACATATGGTCACCTTAACTATGAATCAAAGCTAGCAGTGTGAGTCACTGAGGGGCTCTTTTGTGGGTACTGAACAGCTCTKAACATCGCTCTAGCAGCGAGTATTCAAAGTAGCCCAAATGTACAAAAAAAAAATCACTCAACAGTCTGCTTGGCATTAATATTTTAGCATTCTTTGTGTATCAATTCATATAATAAAAAGAGAAAGGTTGCCCTTATAATTGGTCAGACATAAGATTAGTTGATGGTACAGGACTTAAGTTAACAGAGACTAAGTTTTTTTGTCCATGAAAACTGATTCATACATCATTCTGACTGCAGTTATAGGGGCTGAATGCATTTGTTTCCATTTGTTATCATCTTCGTGGTAAMACAAAACAACATTGTCTGAAATGTCTCTGCTCTGTAGCTTTATCTTGCTTGTTTTCTGTTTTCTTTTGGAAGGAGATCCTGATTTGCTGTTAGTCCCAAATGAGGAGATTCTTTCAAAGTCACTGGAGTTCAATCCTTACATGGCCATGTCCTTGTGGACAGAAAATACTTCCAAATGTTTCAGAAATCCACTAAAACTGACCTCAACCCCACTGGCTCCATTTATAATCTGAAACCTTGGAGTTTTTATATAATAGAAGTTCACTGAAACTACACACAGTAGTGACAACAGGCGAGAAATACAGTGCTCCCATCTGAAATAAGGGCCAATTCAACRTAATTCAATGAAAATAACACAGCCTTCCATGCCTTTAAACCCTGCACATGTATCATGGATCTTTAGGGTACCATCAATTAATCTTATAATTCAGTTGCCACCCAGGAGATGAAAGAAAATTCCCTCTAGCACCAGACAACTGATTCAATGTTGAGATCGTGGTAATCACTGGAAGCGACGGTCCCGTGTGCTGGAAGTGGCAGAGCTGCCTGCAGTGCCCACAAGCAACACGGCCACTCGCACAGAGACGGGGGGAGAAGCTGGTTACGCGAGGGAAGGGCTCGCAGAGGTTATGGGAACCGAGCACTGGAAAGTGGCAGACGCAGAGCAGGAGTCCGAGCGTGGATCTGTGAAGAGCAGATGCAGCAGAGGYGGTGGCAGAAGGAGCTTCCCTGCACTGGGGTGTCTCTCTAAGGCAAGGCAAGGGGAACTGTGGCAGTGGGGTGGGCAGGTCGAGCAAGTTGCAGGCCTGCTGCTGGCTCTAATGCTGCTAGAGAAGGTGCCTGGGYTCCAAGCCCTGCTCAATCACCCTCAATGCCATCTTCAAATTACAGAATCAAAGAATGGTTGAGGTTGGAAAGGACCTCTAGAGATCATCTAGTCCAACCCCGCTGGACACGCAGGGTCACCCACAGCACAGGGCACAGGGCTGCGTCCAAGGGGGTTTGAAGATCTCCAGAGAAGGAGACTCCACAATGTCCCTGGGCAGCCTGTTTCAGGGCTCTGTCACCCTCACTGTCAAGAAATTTTTCCTCAAGTTCCTGTGGAACTTTTGGTGCTTCAGTTTGTGGCCGTTTCCTCTAGCTCTATCAGTGGCCACCACTGCAAAGAGGCCGCCCCCTCCTCCTCACTGCCTCCCTCGAGGTATTTACAGACGCTGATCAGGTCCCCCCTCAGCCTCCTCTTCTCCAGGCTGAACAGGCCCAGCTCTCTCAGCCTTTGCTCATATGGCAGATGTTCCAGGCCTCTGATCATCCTCGTAGCCCTGCGCTGGACTCTCTCCAGCAGCTCCACATCCCTCTTGTACTGAGGAGCCCAGCACTGCACACACTGCTCTAGATGTGGCCTCACCAGGGCTGTGTACAGGGGGACGATCCCCTCTCTCGACCTGCTAGAGATACTCTTCTTAATGCACCCCAGGATCCCGTTGGCCACCAGGGCAAATCTCGACTGTGCTGCGAGCAGCTTCTTCCTTAACTCATGGGCTGGAGGTGACACCAAAGCTCCTTTCCTCTACGGCACCAAAGAGCTACCTTATCACAGCAAGGATTGCTCACTACRTCCCTAAGCTGTGCTCTCCAGTGCTGGAAAGATTCGTCTACCCCAGTCAGTCTTTTGTGCCTGGATGTTTCTTCATTTAGTGATGTTGTTTTGGAGATGACAATTTATGAAGCTTATTGCTGCAGTTCATTAATATTACAGGGCGTTACAAACTCAAAGGAGAATAACAGGTAAAGACAATCTCTGAAATATCGGAAAGGCTATACAAAGAAAATGAGTTTTCTGTATTTACTCATACAGATCTCTGTATACTGTTATGTACAACTCTATGGTTTATGGTCAATCATYTGAACTTCAAGCATGTATTCATTGAGACTGAGTTTTCTTAAAAGCTAAAAACACGTAAGGAACAGAACAGGAAAGAAAGTGTGAGGAAAACAGGAAAGGAAAGAAATAATTTCACAAAGGCCTTAAATAAAGACAATGGACTATTAAAACACAAGGGAAACTGCAGCTCTGAAGCACTGAAGCTCTAGTGACAGCTTTAGTGAGGGAAGGTCAGTAGACTAGGATCGCTGTCCTTACTGTACCTCTGCAGATGACCCTTGACAGTCTGAAGATTCTGATGGCTTAGAAGGAGTTGACGTTTTGCTGTTTGTCAACCATGGTTTACCATAGTTGCGTGTTAAATGCTGGGGTGTCTGTGTGAAACAACGGTAAATCACAATATGAAGGACAGCAGCGGGAAACAAGGTCACGGCGAATACTCAGGCTACGGGAGATCAAATCTCCCGGCAGGARTAAGAACTAAGCAGGAGGAGCTGATGTTCTGAGAAGTGGCGGTGGCAGCACTTAGCCCATTCCCAAATGGTCCGTTAGCTCACTTGGCACCTTCACTGCCAACAGCTTTGCTGCGGCAGTGCTGCCAAGCAGGAGCAGCAGAGRAGGTTCGCCGAGGACCTCTCTCAGATGCCCACAACCCCGAGCTGTGCCGTAGGTGCCTCCTCCCCGCGGCCAGCGCGGACCCCGCGAGCCGTGCTCCTCACCTTGGGGGTGCTGCCCGCGACGGGCGGCGCGGCGGCCGCCTGGCCGGCCTGGCTCGAGAGCGACGTCGATCTGTTGGGGGAGCCCCCGCGCGACGAGGGCCGCGACCTCCGGCCCCGCGGCCGGAAAGCGGCCATGCTCTGGCTCGCGCCGTCGGCCAGGATGAACTTCTCCCGCAGCTCCACGTTCGTGCGCCCTTTAGCTGCGGCGGAGCAAAGAAAGGTGCCGCCTTAGTCAGAGSCAACGGGGCCGCGAGGCCGCTTACTGACATTTTTGCCATGCCGACTCTAACACATTTTACGCGTAAATAAAATGCATTACTGTGCAATGCATTTATTTTGGACACAGAAGAGTTTATGTGCGGAACTCGCTTATTCTAATACTTGATGCCAGCAGGAATGAACCACTGTCAGAGGAAGTCAGCGTGACAATGGAATGCTCAACGTGCTAAACCGGTGTTAATCCATCAGCTATTGATACAGAGACACAACCTGACGAGCAGTTTTGCTAACTCTACAGCTACTCATAGTAAACAGTACTTGCTTGAATGTTGCAGGAGGAATTGCTAAGTACAAATTACCGGAAAGCAGCAAACATATTTCTTTGAAACTATGGAATGAGGTAGTTTGGCAACATGCAATGATGAACACAAAACCAAAACTATCATGAGGTAACTGGTGATTGAGCACTCACACACACACACAAACACATGTGAGATAATGGTCCAAAAGAAGAGATGCAAGACATGTTAGCAGGTAACTGGGTCGGTTTGAATGACAGTTGTTTTTGAAACACTCTTCAAGCGTGTCAAAAATAATTAGCTCGCAAAGCACCAGCCCACACAGAAACACATCAAGCTGAATGTGATGGGTGAAGCATATTGTTAAAAATATATATATTCAAAAAGTAGGAAAGAAATGAAGAGAAAGGAGGAGGAGAAGAGGAGACAAAGAGAGGGGTTTGCCAACCTATAGTAGGCTGAGTGGTAATTGAAGAGTTTGATTCCGAACGTAACATTTTACTCCCGTGATGATGAACTAGAAAAAATGACACAGGATATGGGTCACATTAAAGAAAATCGTTAGCAGGAGAAGAAATCAAGTACAGCAGCTGCAAATGCAAGAGACTCAGAGCACCAGGCCAAAAGACAGAACTCGGAGCAAAAGCTGTCTCTAAGTGCTCTTCTAGTTCCCCTAAGCAAAAGGAACTAGCACTCGAATAGACTCTGCTGTAGTCCCACTTGGGGCACTTATCTGCTGACATAAAGAAGTAACATAAGCTAAAACTGTTTTACTTAGGCTTAGCACATTTTAAGCTGCCTGTCACAATAGTTCTTTGAAATTTGAGTTATTTGAACACAGAAGGAGCTCTGCTRAAAATGCAGATTTGCTGCGCAGGACGCTTAAGCAGAGGCTGAACCTGCTCCACTGCCTTCTACAGGATCAGGGATCCTGAGCAGGACTGGGCACCTACACAGGACCTGCAGCGTGTCTGGTGTGGGGTTTGGTGTGTCTGGGGTGCCTGGCAGTCCCTCAGCTCACGGTGCTGACTGACACATCTGCCCTTCCTGTGAAAAAGGGGCAAGGTCTGACAGCAAATATTACAGCAGTACCTAAAATACAGAGCCTGTTAGAGAGGGAGCAGAGAGGGAAGAGCTGGCAAATCGACTTCTAAAGGCCTCTTTGCCTGAGGTTATAATAGGGACTTCTAATCAAYGACTTGGGTAGTTATTAATTAGTGTAGCTGTCCATGTCAGCTCAAGTAGGACACTGAACAACAGCCTGCCTGCCAACAGAGAACAGAAAAAGGTTTGATGGATGTCAAAAATAATCAAACCTTTCATGAATCTGGATATTTGATGTCCCACTACCTTAAACTTTTGAGGAATAGCAGTAAAAAGCTATAAAGGATGGCTCTGCAGGCATACGTGTCTGCACAGCAGTAGCTTCTGCAGAAGCTTTAAGAGGTAAATCAGAGTAACTTTAACATTGCCAGCTAAAAAGAATTACCTCATTACATGATATTCACTCACTCCAAACATTAATAGTCATTACATACTTTTCTTTTTTTTTTCAGTTTTACTGCTTTTCCTCTTTCCCCAAGTTGGACTTGCCCCTCTCCTGGCACCTTCATGATCAGCTTCCTTTGCATCTCCTGGGAGTGGTGCCAGACAGCGCCTGCCTGCACCCTGCTCAGGCAGCCCGGCTGCCAGAGGGAGCTGCCTCGTTCGTTCATTCATTCATTCATTCATTCATTCATTCATTCATTCAGTAGCTCTCTGCTGATGAGCAGCACATTTCAACTAGCTGCCCTGGGGAGCTCAGAGGCAGAGCACTCCCTCCTGCCCAGAACAAAAAGCCTTCCTGATCACAGCATCTCCCATTCCTTTTGCACAAGGTTCAGGACTCTGCACACTGGTTCTGGGGAGAAYGCCATGAGAAGGCAGCACTGCAAAGGCTGAGCCTAAGAACCTGCGTGCAGTCCCTGGCCACAGGGGGCTCTATTTTTTCCCCCTGGTGGCAGTTTTTCATTTGATTGCCTCATTTTGATTTATGGCATTGAAACTTCTCTCCYGCTGAGAGGATTTTAGCAGACATTTCTCTGTCTTATTTCTGCCAAGTGATACAAGCAGCTTCCATTGCCGTAAGCTCGGTCTGGGCTAAGTTCAATCCCTAGTTATGTCAGCCTGAAACTGGAGGCACTGCGGAGAAGACACTGCAGTTATTCCAGACATACATCAGTGCAAGTGGACAGGATCTGAACCATGGCATTTAAAGTCTACAAAAACAGAACATTATGGGACATTTAATGAGTTGGAGTTTACAGGACTGGCATTTCATACACTTCAGTCTCTAATTTGACACAAGGAACACTGCTACTCTTGACAGTGCCTGCATCCAGGCGACTATCTGCGTGTCCGTTCTGACAGCGTGGCCACCTACCCCTGCAAGGATCGTTCTTCACCAGGAACTCGTCGAGCGCCATCCAGCCGCCTCCCACGCGGACCATGACTGTGCTCCTCAGGATCCGCACGAGCCGCAGCTGCTGCGAGTCACCAAACTGCAACAGAGACAACAGGATGCTGAGCCTCCCCCGCGAGCCCTTCAGAGCTTACAGAGGCTTTTCAAGCTGATGGGTTAAAAGTCAGATTTTACAAGTTTATTTTTTAATTTTATTTATTAGTAAATGCTCCAAACTGAGATTTATTTAGGCAGATTATTAAAGCTGTTAAGATTTCAAATCAAATGCCGCTGCATTAGTCCAAAGGAGATGCCAGGACGGTAAGGAAGAATCTCAGGTTTAATTTTGTGCTTGATTCTCACATCTCTGATGTTGTGAAGAAAGCAAAATTAGTCACACAGTCATTTAATTGATTGTGATCTGCATTAGTGAAGATTTATGAAGACACACTCGCATTATTTCATTATGAAAATGTGAAGCAAACTCCCTTCTGCAACCATCAGATTTTTAATGCAGTCAGCTGAAGAGAAGGCAAGTCCTGCTTTAAATGATCACTARGTGGGCTGGCAATTCCACTCACTCAGGAGTGCTGCACTTTTCCATCAACTGACTCATTACTGCAGGTGTCATGTTGGTCCTGGTCACTGGCCAGCTCCATGTRGAGAAGGGGATGTTAGGAGAGCAATGAGGGATCTTTAGCTCCTGTAACTGTCCTTTGGGATAAGCTGCTTGTCACCCCTCTAACTACGATGAGGCTATTTCTTAATTTTGCAGAAYTAGGACATGCTCAAAAAGCCCATTTCATACCAACTCTTGAGTTGCACGAGCCAATTTTTCCTTTCTAGCTGATGGCTACACCTAGGGTGGCTCCTGCTCTTGTGGACTGCATAACAAAACCTGGATCAACTACCTCAGTTTAAATCTGGATCAGGAAAAAGGGATCAAAATGTGGACCCCGTGATCTCAGAAAAGCTAACCAGACAAATTCAGTACTTTYTAGATGATGCCACTAAAACGTCAGGCCAAGTGCAGTGCTCTGACACACAAGTGTTTGCAGAGCACTGGCTGAAACCAAGAGAGTCCAATACAGATCTGTGCAGGAATCTTTGAGCCCTGGAGAAGGCTGACCATAGCCCAGCCTATCTGCTTGCTCCTGTGACGGGACTGAAATGCCTTGAAGGCAAATCCCCCAAGTGTGCTACCTTAGAGGAGTTTCATGGTTTGATGCTGCTTAAGCCGAGGAGAAAGATTAAAGGAATATTACTTTTAGGAACCAAACAAAGCAAAGCTTGCCACTGAGTAACAAAAAAAAGCTGGAAATGAGGAAGTTTAAATGAGCATTATCTGTAAAATTTATATATATATATATATAATGCACTCAATATATGCGTAATAAAGAACCATTTTACATATACAGAACAGAGAAACAAAAAAAAAAACAGCATCCAAATCTATGCCATTTATTTTCATTGGATTGTTTCAAAAGAAATTTTTTTTCTAGAAATCCTAATGATCATCTCTTTTTTCCCCTTTTTTTCACCTCCTTCCCTATCCCACCTTAATTGCCCATTTAAACCCTGCCAGACAAGTAGACCAGGGCTCAGACAGCACAGCCTTTGGGGGCTGCCTGGGCTGGGGGCAATTCAGGCAGCAGAGCTTTTGGAGAACTGCACAGAGGCTTCTCTCCAGGCAATTTTTCCTACCAGCATCACATCTTAACCTAAAAATCATAACTTGTTATCTTGAGTACTCCGCTACAAAACGGGAAACTTGTAAAATAGTATTTTTAAATTATAATTTAAATATCTACGATTTTTATGATGTCAGTTGCTGCTGACCATTATCTGGTTCCTTTAAAAGTAATCTCCTTAATGCAAAAATGGTCAAGGAAAAAGCAGGGCAGGGAGGCTCCCCAGGAAGGGTTGGTTCCTGAGCAAGGGACACCACAGCTGGGCAGCAATGAATTAGCTGAAGATGAGGGGATGGTGGGAGGACTGACCAGTGCAAGCTTAAATCACTACACGTCAGTGGGGTTAGAGGAGAAAAAAATAAAGAGAGGCACTTCATAACACATTCCACTGGTTTATACCTGATTTCCCAGGAAGAACTGATAAGGAATGAAAAATGGAAGAAAGACACAATTAGTTTTCAGGAAATTCTCTACAGGTTTCTAAACACATGCAGACTAACACATTAGACATTCTACATAAGGTATCTAGTTCAGAGATGAGCAGGTAGCTAGCTCTCCAGAGACTGAATATTGAAGACTTCTCAAGGCTTTTGTTTCCTTCCCATTGCTGTTTGGTCTTTTAAAATCACCTAAGAGTATTTAATAAGCTCTTGCAGCTAAAAAAAATGCGTGTCTCATGTGAAATTGTTCTGGTTATTGAGTCTAGGGATAGCAATAACTTCTCTACAATGTGATACACATATTTTTTTTCTGTGATCTAACTTGTTCTGTAGATCTAACATACTGCTTGCCCTTTACAGATGAAGAAAGAGTGTGCTCCAATGAAGTGACAGGTGAAAGGGGAGTATAAGTGCTAGAATATACTTTGGCCATACATTTTTGAAGATAACGTAATACCATAAATGAAAATATCAGTCAGTGTTTTTATAATACTAAAAGAGAACCAGCTACAGTTTAAACACTTTAGATAATCAGACAGTAAGTTTGCATTTGCAGGATCTGCAGGATCTGTTTTATTTATGTATATACACAGTTGCCTTTTGAAAATATCCAATCATTGAAAATAGCTTCTGTGGTTTCAGTAGAAATTAATATATGCAGCAGCATTTACCTATAAGAATAATTCATATAAAACTGAGACAGACTGAAAGAAAAATGTCATACGGTATTTCTGCAAATTAATTGAACCTAATGCCCTGCATAGCCATGTCATATGGAGAATCTTTAAGCTGAAAGAGCAAAGGAAGTCGTTATCAAGACTTACCCTGTACTTGTTATCCCCAATCTGTTCCACTTGGAATCGCTTTGCACATTTACATTTGGCTACCTGCCTTGTAACCTTCAAAAACAAACAAAAAAACAGAACTGGATAATTACTTTCCTGCTAATATCATGGTTTGTGAAGACTTAGATATGTCACTGGAAAACTGCAAATTATATTGACAGGAAAATCCCATTAAATATTAGAGACTGTGACTACAGTGGAATGGGATTTGCTATCCATGGAAGCAGGGGGTGTACCTCGTCTTCAATCTTGTCGGCGTCTGTGAGAGGTTTGTATGCATCCTTGTTTGGGTGGAGAGCTGCTACAAATTCGTAATAGTCAATATAGCCATCACCATCTCTATCAAAAATGTCCGCAACCGCACTCATTTCCAGGCGGCTTGTTGGGAATTCTGTAGGACAAAAGACAACAGAAGGTAAGTTTTTGGCTTTTCAATCCCATTACAATTATTGACTTTATCACAGATAATTTTATGGTTTTGAGGAACTAGGTGGAAGACAATGTTTATCAAAATGACTACAAAACTTGGAGGACTAAAATAATCTTTTTTTTTTTTTTAATAAATGAGCTTTGGTATAAAAAGGAGCATCCTAGTGTGGCCTGAGGAGCAATGCACAAGACAGGGCACAGGTGGAACTGTAAGACAGATATTTTTTATAGCATTCCTGACTTCCAAAGCACATAAAATACCAGAGATGACAGGATAAATTGTTAATGAGGAGAGGCCAGGCAAGAATGGTGAAGTTAATGAAATGTGGACTGCAAGGCCTTTGCAGGTGAGGAACATGGGCAGTTTTTGGGAAACCCTCCTTTAGATCAAGCTCATCAGCAGCGGAATATTAACATACATAAAGATGTTGTAATGGAAYGGTCCAGGAAAATTTCACGATGGTCAATAGGGATTAAATCATGTACAGATAAACTGATATTAATTAGGCAATAGTGTAAACGTGACATTTGTGATCTCATTTACAACAGAAAAGAGATCTTAGAACTAAAGGAGGGATCTTAGAACTAAAAGGAGTTTCTAGACTCCAGAAATAAGTAAAACAATGGCCATCTAAAAATTATAGTGAATGACTTGAAAGGAGAAATCTGTGCCTAACACAATGACCTGTGCAGCATGCACTACAAACAAAATAAATTGTCATGAGATATCTTGAAGCTTATCATTAATTAATTGTAGAACTTACTTGAAGAAAGAATTCCGTCGATAAATTCCTGTCTTGTTATCTTTCCATCCTGATCTTTATCAATCCTCCTAAAGAAGTCCATCACACGAGACTTCTTATGGTTCATCCATCGCATGTATTTTTTCCTCCAAATATCAAAATCAAAGTTGGCAAATTCTTTCAACTTTTTTAAAAAAAGAAAGAAATTTTAGTTGAAATGGGTAATTTTTGAAAATCAATGAAAGATATTATCTGCATTCTTTTAAATAGCTGATTAGTTAAAAYATTTGTATAGGTCCTTGAGAATCTTGTCTCAGTTATAAAAAGAATGACAGATTTTAAAGGGAAGGCAACACAGTGTTTTAAACTAGCCAAATCATAGGCAAAAAAACTCACTGATTTTTTGATCAAAAAAGAAAAAACAAATACTGCAGTGTGACCCAGGAAATGCAGAGATAAACAAAATTAAGCAGAGTATGTGAATTCTGTGGAGTCCTTTACTGACCTCTTCAAGTCTGTCCAGAGCATCGTTAAGTTTTCTCCTTCTCTCCAAGGCCAGCAGCCAGACTTGCTGCCACTTGCTGACTAAGAGGTTTACCCTCGGATTCTTGGTTTCAATTTGGGTCTGCGTCGCTGCGGGATAGATGCCGGGCGTTGGGGAACGCTTTCCTGTTAAAACACATACAAGTCTCACCCAGTTCAAAGAAAACATTCTTAGGAAGGGTGCTTGACCTTCCTAAAACTACTTTTTTTGTCACAAATAATGAGCCCTAATTTTGGTATAATTCTTTCTAATAAGACTTTTGACATTGCTTGGACAGGACCACATTGTGATCACATTATTTATTGTTAGCTAGTGGCAGCTACTACTGGCTCTACCAGTGAAGCTGCACAAGTTAAATAAAGTTGTAAAAAAACTTCTGTTGAGACAGCTTTGTAAAGTAAAAACATGAGTTCAATAGATTCCAAATATGTATGGGRAACTAGATCTAAAAAATGCAACAGGTCAGAATATATAAAATACAAAAGCAAATTCCCAACTTGAGGACTCACTTTCCATTGAACATGGCTGAACAGAAGACTTCCTACTATAATTCTCATATTAACTTAACAGACAGTAAAAGCAAATTCTTGTTCTTACTTTTGTGTGAAAAGAAGATGTTTACTTTTGAATAATAGTAGGTTGACAAACAATTAACCTGTGCACATTGCTGTAAGTTTATCAGCCCATGAAAGTCTACATGCAGTAAAATGCATGTTCAAGAAGTATGGACAAATTTTAAAATGTTATGGTCTTTTTTTTTATTTTCAGGACAAAATTGATACCAAATTAATTCCAAGAAGTGTCATGGTTGTATCTTGTCTATCAGCATAATTGAAATAGAAATTTATTGTAAAAAAAGTTTAATCACAATGAAAAATATATGGCAATATATTCTAATATATTACAAAAATCAACGAAGAGAGAATTTCACCCCCTTTCACATGAGTGTTCTCATGCTAATCATACCTATTAGGTTATTCATAYTCATAGGCAACTTTCTAAGTGACTTGCCCAAAAATAATTTATTACTTACTTCCTGCTCTTCCCTTATCAAGGATGGGAATATGAGATTGTACTGGAATGGGTTCAAGTGCTTTTCTTTTGTAGGTCTTGGTAACTTTATCCACATCAGGTTGTTTTCTGGTCATTTCCTCCATGAAGGTCTGCAATTAAATAGAGGTTATTTTCATTAACAATACACAAAAGTGAGTACAAAGATGAAAAACATATACAATATCAAAACACCAAAGTTACAAGAACAACAGTGAAAAAGAAAGACTGTGATAATGTCAGCCTCACAAAAGACCACAAATGAAGTGTTTTTTTCATAGGCCAAAAAAAAAAAATCATCAATATAAGCTTTTAGGACCATTTTAGGACCACCGTGGCCTCACTATTAAACACAGCCTCAATGTAAAAGCAGTTTGCTCAACTTTTTGATTCCTTACCTGTGTAAGATCTGTCCTTTCTTGTGCAGACTGCAGGTCACAGAAGGGAGACAGCTAAGGTATGTAAACTGTGCCTGCTCCCAAGCATCAGCAGCTCCCTCTGGCACTGTATTTTTGCAATACAGTCAGCACAGCCATACTGCACTCTAATTCTAAGGCAGCACACGGTAATGTATTTCACATGTCGCAGGTTTCTGACTATTAGCCTTATTCCAAGAGGGATTTCTGGCTTTGCTTTTAGGACAATGCTGCACTGGCTGGATTGGTTCCTTACCTCTTTGTGTTGAATAAAGCACAAGCACTTCACCTACACAGAAACCACGCACACAAGCACTCAGGGAAGTGATGGAAGGATTAAAACAGGACACAGGGAAGCAGATTCACACTCCTTACTGGAAGCTGAGCTGTGAGCACCAGCTGTGGAACATGCAGGAGACACATGGCACTGCAGAGACCTTACCTGGTGCTCAGCTATGAGCGCTTTCACTTCCTCAATCTCCTGGGGGACTTCCTCTTTATCCTTCTCAATAAGGGTGGTCTCTGCCCACTGCAACCAGGATAACAGGGCTTCCAGCAACTCCTGGTTAGCAATAAGCCCGGAGAGAGCTCCTGCAAGCCGCTGCTGATGTTGTTTAGCCCACGCTAATACCTGGATGAAAGGATCAGGGCATGAATATTGGCACATCTGGAGCTCTTTGATATTTATTTTAAATTGCCATACTAACTGTAAACCTGTATCCTCCTCTCAGACKCCATACTGCTGCTTCATTACCAAAGGTGGCCAGCTTGCTAAAGGTGCTAGATGGCAGAATTCCCAGTTCAACCACACTTYGTCCCAGCAATTCAAATCTAGGCACTATTAAGTGCTCAGAACTGTGACTTCTGGCAATTTAGCAAGGACTTGATTACACACATTCGTGAGCTAATGAACGACACAGGACTCAGACGGGGAAGGAGGAGGAGGAGTCGGCCTTCCTCCTGGGAATTCCGGGGCCACACTTTGCTAACAGTAGCATTTGTTTTTCTCTAAACTTCATACACACACAAAATGCTATGTTTAGCAACTGAGAAKCATAGAACCATAGAATCCTTAAGGTTGGARGGGACCTCCAGAGGTTATCTAGTCCAACCCCGCTGCACAGGCATGGAAACACAGAGCACGGGGCACAGGGCGGCATCCAGGCGGGTTTGGAAAACCTCCAGAGGAGGAGACTCCACAACCTCCCTGGGCAGCCTGTTCCARGGCTCTGTCACCCTCACATGAAAAAATTTTTTCCTTAAGTTCCTGCTGAAGTTTTGATGCTTCAGTTTGTGGCCATTTCCTCTAGATCTAAAGTGTGCACTGTGTCTTCTGGGACCTCCTTGTAGCTGCTTAAATCATTCAGAAAGCTTCCAGACTGAGAAGACATTGCRCTCAGTGCCATTAGAAAATGATGTTTCAAGCTTGCCTTGTTATTTTTTCTTGTATTTTAAATTTCTCCCTAGAAATAATTTTCCTCAAGTGACAAGTGTCAGGCAGTATTTCTTTTAGCACATACAAATGAACTTGACTATCTGCTTTAGTACCTGAAGTCCTTTAAGTTTTGAAATAAAACCTATGGAAGGATGGCATTTTACATACATCACTGGGTATTTTAAATGTTCCTTTCTCGGCAGCTGGACCATTTCCTCTCAATATAAACTATCATGTTAGCTACCACCTTCGCTCCAACCAAAGACAGACTGTTTCAGTGAAGATGCCTTGAGAGAGACTGACCTCTTCGAATCTGGCTCGGATGATTGTTATCCAGTGCTTAATGGTGGTGACGGAGTCTGGGTGGCAGATGGCCAGGAGAGCTTCGCCCATACCTGTTGCTTTATTCAGCTCTGCCTTCTTCTCATCCAGTTTCTTCATAAATTCCTAGTCAGAGCAACAAATTCCGTTAGATGGTGCCCAAAGTTACAGGAAAAATCTGAGTAACCTCTAAGTAAATGGATAATCTGTAAGATCAAAGGCCTCTACATCTCTCAAAGCTTGGAGATTCGTATTTTTCAGTCATGCTCTTCATTCAGCCTTTGCCCCAGCTCATTACTGCACAGTCAGTTTGATGGCTTGTCCTGCAGTACTGGCAGTACTGATGGCACTGCATCATTTCAGTATCTAAGGCAGGAGAAGCAYGAGAGCACGGTGCCTCACCACGACAGAAGGTGAATGGATGGTAACATCATTCTGCTCATGCTTAAAGATGACCTTGAAGGGAAAGCCTAGGGTGGCTTGTTCAGCAGTGTTAAGATGACCCTTTGCTACTCAACCCTGTKTGATGTAATTGCCAAGTGGCACTTGTCCCACCAAGCTTTCTGAATCCATCTCTTGATGTTTGCAGCAACTCTCTAAATATTATTTCCTTAGTAAACCAGTATGACTCAGAAGAACCCCCACTACGCATGGGCACCACACTCTCAAAGCCAGCAAATTYCTAATTTCTCTATAAAAGCAATCACAAAGACAAACCATAGCTGCTAGACTTGAAAACCTGAGCTAGATTCTGCTTTGTTTCCCTCATTTCCACCCTGTAATAGACATTCCAGAATGAACCAGATCCGCTTTACTTCTCGCTTACCCTGTGCTGCTCCATTAGTGTCCGCAGAGCCTCTTCATCATCTGGAAGGACGCCATGGAATCGCAGGGCCTGCTCAGCCTCTGCCAGCCACTCCAAGAGAACATGGACAACGGAGTGGAATTCTTCTGCCTGTTCAACACCAGGAAGGCACAGTCACTCCTGAGGGGACCTGACAGGCACCATGCAGCTTACCCGAGGAAAGTGAGCCCAGGTGCAGTACGGGCACATCAGCTTTCCATGGAAAAGTCTATGATAAACAGTACTGCATTTTCGTAATTGTAGAAACATCCCAGGCTTCCCCCTCAAAAGTACAGGAAGCCTAACAGCCTGTTCATGCTTTTAGGCACCTCATTTACAGTGCCTGGGCAGCTCAGCTGAGAACTGAGCCTTTTGGCTGACAAACCACACAGGAGGGGCTGTCAGGAAGCAGCTGAAGAGAGGAGACCTGTATTTTCTGCATAGCCTGAGTGATATTGAACAAAACCAAAAGAAATACAAATAAAAATTCAGGGCAGCTGGCACGGAGTATGTGTTTCTTTGCTTCTCCTCAGCTGCCTGTGGTATCAGTCGTACTCTTACCTGCCGGAGAGCCTGCTCCAGGCGTGTTTGCTTGGACACTGACAGGGCACAAACTGTCTCCCAGCGCGTGCTCAGCTCCAGCATCTGGACCTTGACCCAGGACGAGTCGTCGCGGCTGCCTTCGATGAGCTCCCTGGCCGAGCGCTTCAGGGCCTGCACGCTGCTCGTTCTCTTCCCCAGCTCTTTCTGGAAGGCCTGGGCACCACAAAATACGTGTGGAATGCTTAATTTACTAACACAATTATACACAGAATAACAAAACATTTCTTTTAAGAAGATATCAAAACATGAGCTCAGTTCAGTCAAGAGTATTTCCATCTAAGTGATGCAAAATACAAAAGTTTTGCTTATTTGAMGAAAAGGCAGAAACCCTCTGCCTTTTGCAGTTTGCACAGAATGTTTTGCCATGTTGTCTTTGCAAAAGGAATATAGTACTAAAATCCAGGCAGTTCCTGAGAACAGCTCATCTCAATGCAGAGCATGGGGAATCTATCCTCCTAGCCACAGTGGCTTAAGTTCTTGCCAAAGCAATACATCTGACATTGCAAGAGAAGTGCAAGATTGCCTCAGAAAGCAAAGATCACATAAAATGCTAACAATCAAAACAAAAGGTTAATATTGTAAAACCAGAAATCAAGACCCATCTGAGGGTCTGACTGGTAGGGCTGGACATATTGCCACACAGTCCTTTATTTCCGTGAGAGTGCAGTCACATTCTCAGACAGAACAAGCTCCAGTTACATAAAGGAACCTTTTAAGGCTTATGTTGTGTATTGCACATTGTGTATTGCATACAAAGTATACTGTAACTGTCAATACACAATATTACAGTATACCAGGTCACTATGACTTAACTGGGGGATACAGGAGCATTTCAGAAGCAGTTCCAGCACATTTCAGGCTGTTTTCAGAGATCATCTGTGTTTTGGTTGTTTGGGGTTTTAGGGTTGTTGTTGGTGGTTTTTCCGTGATGGACAAAATCTCCTGCTCCCTGAACAATCTTTGAACCCTCAAAGACACTCATGGGTGACCCGTGATCGACCCTTCATCTCCTAACCTTGAACCCAGAGCTCAGGTTCATATAAATATTCCTAAATGTGCATTTATAATTGATATGATATTCACTATGCACATTTGAGGTGCATTTATGTTTGATATGATATCCACTATGCACAAGAAGGCAGAATCATTGGGAATATCTCAGAGCTAATTGAGGCCAATAGGTTATTAACTTTTTCCTTCAAGAAACATTCTATGTTTCTAAAATCACAGAACAGTCGAGTAAAGATAGTATTGAAATGTGACACTAGCAATTCAGTAATTAAAAAAGATGGATATTTTTAAAATTACCTTGTGATTGTCAATCAGGTTCATGACTAGATCAATGTCACCATGCACTGGCTGATCTTCGGCCAGCTGTGGCTCAATTCTGTACAACCAGTCAATGAGAGCTTGCAAAGCATCAGTAAACTGACCCGAGAACAACAGAGCTTCCTCCAGCTTATTTTGCCTGGGGAAAAAGAACACAACAAAACACAAAAAAAGTTAAAGAGCACTTAGAGGTGTAAAGCACTGGCCAGTGCAAAGCAGATTCCCAAACAGATGAGGAAGTTCCATCTGCATGCGAGGTACTTCTTTCCTGTGAGGGTGYCAGAGCCCTGGAACAGGCTGCCCAGGGAGGCTGTGGAGTCTCCTTCTCTGGAGGTCTTCCAAACCCGCCTGGATGCYGCCCTGTGCCCCGTGCTCTGGGTGTCCCTGCTGGAGCAGGGGGTTGGACTAGATGATCTCTAGAGGTCCCTTCCAACCTCAAAAATTCTGTGTTTCTATGTGATTCTATGAGGGACGCTCTTCCGGCTCTTCTCAATCCTTGTCCATAGCATAAGGAAAGCAGGGAGGATGCATTTCTAATATTTTACTGTTTTGGTACTCAATTATCAAACAAGATTCAATTTCTCATTTTCCTCATAGGCCACAGAAACCAAAGCAGAAGCCCAAAGAATTGTCATAAGCCTCCTTATTTGCCAAAAGAAATAAACAATTTTACTTTTTATTTACCTTTCTACTGATTTTCCACAAATTGTATCCCATTTATCTCTTAGTTCACTCAGCATATCATCTAGTTTCAAATTGTCATCAGCCAAAGTGGATTTCTCTTTCAAGGAGCGTCCAGTCCTGTTCGTGGTATCATACACAGAATGTTTGGCACCAAGAGATTTCTGGAATTCCTGTATGCATGGAAGAAAAAGAAAACACTCATACAGCATTAACTACCTGCAGGCTGTAGTTGATTCATCTCTGCCATATTAYTTACAGTGTAAATTGTAAATGTTGTTGCATGCAAATTTTACCTCATTTTACTGCTTAGTAAACGTTTCTAGTCTGCTAGTACCATAGTGAAGGTGCAAGTCATAGAACTAAGTGGCTTGAGATTTTAGCAGAGCCCTTGTCTTTTGTCCACACCTGTAAGAGCAGCTCTACACYTACTGGAAGAATTCATGGAAATACCCTCCTTCAAGGACAGTGGTGATTCTTGACCTGCCACAATACTCTTAAATTTTAGTTTGCCTGAGAAAGACAAACGTGCTCCTTGGGAAGCATGTACACGAAGCATGAGGGGTCTTCACGCTGTATGTATACAGACCAAGACTTCAAGCTAGGATAGAGTGTCCTCAAGGTGCAAAGGTGACCCTGCTTTGGCTCAGCATGGTCCACACTGGGTCACGAGCACTGAATCCTCACTAGATTAAAGCATATCATAACCAGGAAGAATTGTATKCCAAAAGCATGTGGACTGAGGCACAAGAGGAAGTCGGGGGGATCCCAATAATGTAGTTTAGGTTGGAATAAAGCCATTAGGATTGAGGAACTCTTGGGGATGATGGTGATGCCACAGACACAAGCGCCTGGCGGCTCTGACAGGAAGATCTATATGGAGTTTGTGGTAATTTGTCACAAGGGAACACACAGCAACACACCTCAACTGAGACCTCAGAGAGCTTAACAGTGTCACAGCAAGTAATTAAGTACAGTCACAGCAAGTAATGAAGAACAGTGCCAAAAGATAAAAGCAGCCCCCTACGTAGCAATGTTTAATTCTTAAAGGATTTTCTTTTGTGYTGTCATTATTAGTGGGATTATTAGTGAGATTATTAGTGGGAAACTGGTAAAAAAACAATAAAAAAAATGTCACAAGTTTGCTTTATAGTTCTCAGTTGTCCAGAATCAAATGTTCTTATCTGACACAAAAAAATAGCAGCCCAAAGAGGTTCTGCTCAGAGGAAGGGAATGAAGGGTGTGTGAAGCAGGAGGAGGCAAGAACAGGGATCAGCCATGGGAAGTGTGGGCTGACTTCACCAAGGATAATGTGAATGCCTGTGTCATGCTCCTCCTATTTGACAGGTTTTATTCATTACCTTGAGCTACATACTCACTGTTACTTGATTTGCACAAAAAAAGCCAAAGGAAAGGGCAGCCAGAGAAGGATCGCTCAGTTAAAACCCATATGAAGGAGCAGGAAGGGTTTTAGTTAATGCATTCCTTGGGAGCTGGTCTGCACACATTGGCCCAAGTCTACGTGTATTTACTTCCACAGAGGTGCAACTGAGAGCAGATTGTGGTTGAAGACATCACAGCTGCCAAGGGCAGATAGGTAAAAGGAATGAAACCTCAATAATTAACTATATGCCTCCTTGCTAAAGTAGGCAGGGACATACAGATAAAATAGTGAGGTTCATATAAATGTATCATAAAGCACACCCAGTGTTAGCAGAGGAGTGGACTGTGTGATCTAGTARGGGGCTTTCCATTCCTAACTTCTACAAATGGGAAAAAAAATGCCAATACACAGACCATGTGTAACCCCCAAAAGTCCCTGGCAACACACTAGATATGAGAGGGAGACAGCATGCTGTCTTCCTGGCTCCTTTTTTCTTTCTTTCTTTTTATCTCTTGTTTTTTTGGCAGCAACAACCTGGCAAAGAGTGAGCCTGAGTTATTGCTTATAGCACACACAGAAAGCACACACATTCAGATATCAAAATCAGTAACTGAACAGAGCAAGGAAACCTTCGAGGCTGGGAAGAAAAGACAAAGACCGACGCAGGGAGTAAACATGGGAGTGGAAGGAAAAGACTGAAAATACAAGGAAGGACAATGCAAAGCTGGGAGGTTCAACAGCTCATTAAAAAACAACKGAGTCCCATTTCTTGGAAGGGGTGGTTTGAGGTTTAAAGTCACAAACTCCGCAGAACTCCCTCCTTCATCTACATTCACCTTCCTTCTCCAAATCACCAGCTTTTATCTCAGTGTTCCTGTGCCACATACTATCATGTTCCTCATAATAAATGAGGGCCARGCAACTTAAGTAGCTACTCTCCGCGGGCATTTTGTAGGAAAACAGACTGCAGGAAAGGTCCTGACAGAACTGAGGAGTCTGCCAGACAGGGTGAGGAGGTCTGGCCTCCCAGGAGGTACTGCTCTAGRCAGAAAGAAGAAGTGGGGTCTCCAGCCTACATTTAACGAGAGGAGGAGGACAGAAGGACGGACTGGGGGACGGGAAGAAGCCGCACGCCAAGGCACAGGATGTTGGTTTTACTCATGAGGGCTCTACATTTTTATATAAAGAAAGAGGAAGAATGGAAATATTAGACAAGTGACACCATCAGAGCAGACAAGAAAGATCATCTGAACAGAAGGARTTTTTTCCCTATATTCTCAGGGCTGACTTCCGATTTTGGCAACAAGAGCAATCCCAGAACAAGCTGAAACTGCAGAGTTAGCATAACAGAATGCTAATGCAGGCTTTATCTAACAACTCTAACAGTAAACACAGGTAACACCGTTTTTGCCTGACTAACAGCCAGTTTTGCCATACTAAAGGAGAATATTCCCCTGTTTGATAAACAATCTGAAACCATCATGGAAACTGTGAAATGATAAAATTGACACAGTGAACAATCCTTATGATACAAGTCAAAGACTTGTAAGTCATCAGAAGCTACACAAAAAAGGAAATAGTAGAGTTGCTAAACTTTGGGAATATAGTTCAGAACGACAAAAAAAAGTAAGACTAAAAGGTGAAAAGGAGARTAAAATAGAGAAGAAGTAACTGTATGACTAAACACAGAAGAATGAGTGATATTTCACTACTCTGTCTCTGAGAAAACTGCTCCAAGATAAATTTTTAGCAGGAGCCTCTTTTTGAAGAGTCTGCCATTCATCCATGTGATTCCTAGTAGTATATTCGTGGCTCTTTACAAAAATAACAACAAAGTAAAAACTTCCTCTAGACTTTTGCTCTGTGTCTCATGCAAGTGCAGAGCTGCCTTCTCTTTCATAATACCATGGTTTGCTTGGAAAGCCAGGCTAATCCAGAAGTTTCCCATTTTTTGCCCATTGTAGGTGGGTAGCAGAACTTTTCCCACTTGCACCAGTTTTACCCCTGGCAACAAGCACCGGCCAGCACGATGCTCCCCACTGCAGGGAGGCAATAAACCCACCTCCCTGGCTGCCTGGCTGGTGTCAAAGGTGACAGGCTTGCCTGCCACCTCACTGGGCACCTTGCATTTCACCAGCCGTCACTCACCTTATGCTGTGCAAGCTGCAGCTTTATTTTGTCAGGGTCGTTTGCAATTTCAAGCTCTGAATCCAAAGACTTCTCGGATTCTTCCAGCCATTCCATGAGTTTATGCCAGGCTTCGTGGAACTGTGGGAAAGTGAGATTTGCATTGATTTACATACATAGTGGTGCAGGAAATGGTCAAAAGAATTATATATTCTTTACAGACCAACCAAGCATTTTGCAAACTTGGGAAAGGATCAGTGAGCTCTCTGTCTTTGACTTCTTCAAGAGACACTTGCCCAACTGACTTCACTAAGTACTTTTCTTGCAGGCCAATCAGYAACCCTTCCATCTTCCTCCCATCTKCATGTGAGGAAGAAYTTCTTCACTGTGAGGGTGACAGAGCCCTGGAACAGGCTGCCCAGGGAGGCTGTGGAGTCTCCTYCTCTGGAGGTCTTCCAAACCYGCCTGGATGCCRCCCTGGGCCCCGTRCTCTGGGTGTCCCTGCTGGAGCAGGAGGTGGGGWTGAACTARATGATCTCTRGAGGYCCCTTCTAAGCTCAACCATTCTGTGATTGTGTGAACCCTTCATGATCTTTCTGCCCAGAAGACATTGGCCTAGCGACTAATATATTAGATGGGGAAATGATGAGTACTAGGGCCCAGTGWAAACCTAGGAAGAAAATACTAAGCMATACTCYCMCAAAGCAGGGACGGGGGTTCACCACATTCCTTAAAATATAAGGGGTTGATTKTGTGACTTCTTTTTGAAGACAGATGGCCCTAAAATACATCTGGAAGCCATACTGCAATTTTCAGACTATCCTGCACCGTAGACAGAAGTCGCTACTCGGGTTGAAAATGAAGCTTTCACCTTCCAAATGAAGTGCTCTATGATTGAATCACAGAAATTGCTCCACTAATTCAACAAAATCTGTTACACTAACCCCAGACTTGCTTGAAAGGGCTTTAAAGTACCATATACCTCAAGGGCCTGGATTTAATTACAGCTAAGTTCAAAGAGCTGCACAACAGCTGTCACATTACCTGTTTGGCTCTTTTCCTTGCGTCATCCAAAGCTCTTCCCCTTTCAACTAAGCGTTGGACTACTTTTTCCCATCTACTCTGAACACTAATCAGTAGATTCTTAATAAGGACAACATCTTGTTTCTGGCTGAAATATTTCAAATGGGTTCCAGTTTTGTCCAGCTCRAGCATTTGATCCCGATGAGAATTCACCTCTGTGGCAAAAGCCTTGGGGAAAAAAAGAAGGGAAAAAAATTACTCTGAATATTGTATTGCTCATGCACTGGGTAACAGTGAAAAACAGCCTGATAAAGGATCATGCAGTGGGAAAGACCATAAAATACAATTTTAAAACAAATTAAACATTTCTCTGAGTGCCAACATTACTTAAGCAATGTCCAAATGAACCCTGTATCTCCAAAGAGTGGGAGAAGAACACTGCACATCTGTTTCTTCACATACCTTGTGTTCATCAATTTGAAACAAGACAGTATCCAAGATAAGACTTGGCCGAGAAGCAGCAGTCAGAGTTTGCTCCGCCTGGGTAAGCCAGTTGATGAAGTCTTGAAGTGAATTGTGGAACTCCATGGCTAAGCTGAGCGCGTTCTCCAGTTTGGTCTGTAAAATAGGTCACACCTCAGTATCAGTTGATGTTTCATAGGTGCTTCAGCCAACTAAACCACTTCTGCTTAGCATTTTGGAGGAGCTTTTATTAAAAAAAAAAAAAAATCTATCTCAAAGTTCCTGAGTTCCTGAGTTTTACATTTTCAACTAACAGCTCACATATGAGTACAGGTGGAAGAGACAGATAGAAAATTACCAGTAAAATTATATAAATAAGTAGAAAATCCAGCATCTATTATCAGGTCTCCAGGTCTTCCACAACTGGACATTTTTTTCTGGCACTCCTCATTTGTAATGGAACATATGAGTTTACCAATTTCAAGACAAAAGCTCAGAAAACTAAAGTGGCAGCACCGCTGGGGAAGCCTTGGAGATATCACCTAATTTATTCTCTTGCACGAAGGGAAAAAAAACAAGCTTGCCTAGATCATATCTTCTAAATAATGCCCAAWCACCATTTGTGCTGCCTGGATCAACACTGTTTTTCAGATACCGCTTTTTATTTTTGATTACTGAAAGTGGTCAGAGATTTTTATACAGCCACATGGTTGGACTARCTTAGTACCCTGACCTTACAGCTTCCTGCAAGAAGGTGCTCACATTATGTATTAATTYGATGTTCTTACATGGCTAAGAGACATGAATTTTCTTATTTTCAAGTATAGCTGGGAGTGAAATATTTAACCTTTTACAAATCAGGGCTGCACAGAGGGTTCTGTGTTTGTAGTTATTGGTATTATTCATTGATTGACAGAAGAACAAATGGACTATGCTTCAAAAAGAAATGAAAGCAAAATGAAATGAATAGGAAAACGCATGTTGCACATCCCTGAAATCGTCCTGTTGAGCTACGTTACAGCAGAAGGTAGTTACTTGAAGTAGGTGGCAGAAGGCCAAGTGTTTGGAAATTTAAGAGGATAAAAGCTAGGAAAAGGAAAGCAGCAATTCTGTGTTGAAAAAGAAATAAAACTGAAATATCAAATAAGTTTATTCATTTTCTCATGTCTATGATCACTAAAATTAAAAAAAAACTCACAAAAGCTCTCATTCTAGAAAATGAATATATGACAGTATTTGTTAGCATATTTCTATGGAACAAAATTCTGTCTTTTTAACCCCTCATTTAGGGTAAATTAACTTCTTGAATCCCACGGGTTTCTTAGCACTTGCTAAACATTCCAATGWATTTTGCGTAACTGAAAGACCTGCAAGATCCAGCAAGTTTGTATGTATGAAAGGACTAGACAATAACACGCTTAAATACGTGATTTACACTTCTATTTTTAAGACCACATACTTTTCTTTCGTTGAGCTTTGTTTGTACTGATTCCCATTTTTCTTTTAAGTTATTTATGTCCTGCTCGACGCTCGTTTTCGCAGATTTTGGGCATTTTCCAAGCATCTGCCGGCCTTTCTGTATTAGATTCTTATAGGTCTCTTCTTTGTCTTCAAAGGCAGCACAAAGTTCCTAAATTAAAAAAAATAGTAAGTSAGGTAGAAATTCAATACTCTTTGCAAGTGTACCCTTCTCTTCCCCCAACATGTTGTGGGTACAGTTAAGGCTAATACAGGAAACCCAGGTAATCCACAGAAAGCCAGGGGAAGGGCCCAGTTCTTCAGGAAACGAGGACTTGGGTTTTGTGTCAGATGTTTTCGCTGGGCTCCAAAGCCTTGCAGGGAAAACACTAGGCACCCATCTCGCTGTGCAAGGTCTGCTGCAATCCAGTTCAGGTCCATGTGCAGCTGAAGCACCCTGGCTGTCAGCATCATTCCGCATGCTGCAAGCCCAGAGCTATCCAACAAAAGCACCGGGACAACTTGGGAGGGCTCCTTGACCCTCTCCCACTTTGCCGGAGTCTTCCCTCGCTTGCCAGGTGTCGGGACTAAAGGTTTTCATGCACACAGGAGACTTTAACCTGCTGCAACACAGCAGTAATGCATAAAAGCAGTTTTATCTGTTAAGTATTCTGTGAACTATTCTTTTCTTTCAACCAGGTTAAATATGAGGTGGCAAAAGAACTGGAACACTTGTGTTTCCCTCTGACTCAAAAGGACRTTTTCATAATTTAGAGCAGACCATTCAAAAGGCATCATCAAAGCYGGTGCAGATGCCCAAATGAGGAACACATTTAAGAAGATGAGGAATAATTGTCCTGTACACAGCAGGGAAAGCTTTTCCCTCTGGCTCTACGGAGCCTGAAGCCAACAGTTTGTCTGGTATAGAAGAGCCTAGGCACAGGCTCGTCCCTGATCCCCACGAGGGACAAGCAGGAAGCAGGTCGGAGCAGGAGCTGAGATTTTCACAGGCCACAAAGCCTCCTTCCTTCCTTCCTTCCTTCCTTCCTGGGGACTTTGAACCATTTGGTCACCTGCTCTGCCTCTTCCTATTTTCCCAACCTCCCTAAAACAATTTTCTCGGGCTATAAAGCTTCACCTTTCTTAGCCTGGAGGGAAATGGCCCTGGAGGGAAAGGGGGCCCAGATCCCACTTTTTGGGCAGCTGCCACCCCACCACTGCCCCCAGGTGCCCGGGAACACACGGAGAGTTTCCGCAGCGTTCCCAGCACCGTGCAGCTCCATGCAGCTCTGACCCCTCGGAGATACCGGCCTGGAGCTAGTGCTGCAGGGCAAGCACACTCCCAGCAGGCCGGGGGGAATGCAAGTCCTTTGGAATGGTGGTGTCCTGWATTTTCATTTCCTGTTCCATGGTGTTCCTGGAGCTGCCTTAGCTGGAAGGGCTACCCGGCCTCAACCCCGCTTGGGAACTGGTCACAACTGTGGGTTCTTCTGCCCGCGTCTGCAACACAGCTGTTGGACTCAAGGAGATGGGAACATACCGTTCCTAATGGCAAACACAGCAAAGGCCAGGGCAAAGTGTTGCTCTCTGGCTACACCTCACAAATTACCACATTTTGGATCTCTTAATGGCAAGTCTGAAGTCTGCAAGCTCAACATGACACCTGGCCTCAGCCTTTCTCTGCCCAAGAAGTGAAAATCTACACAGATCTGCAGGRATGTGGTGAAGTTTAATTAAACTCTAACCAAATCCTTTTCTTGTTTTTTTTTTTTTCTCCTTAAGGGTTATACATTAAAAGCTGATGAGTCAACTTCTGTAGTTCCATATATGACAGCCCGCAGTACAGTAACAACTTGGTAAAAGGGACAGTTGTTAGGAAGTCTTCCCACCTGAGGAGTGAATGTTATCAGGACAATATTCACACTTGTTCTGACTACGGTATTAAACTGGGTTTAAACACTCTTTAATCAATATGTAAGATGTAGTAAAAATAGCAAATGACTTACTGATACGCACTGTAAAGGCATGTACTAAAGCAAAGCCGGAAATTTTCCAGGGAAAATTGTTCTGCCTTGATCTGATTCCAAATACATCATAAAAAATGGAGTAAGTTCCACTGACTCTCCTGGGTTTTTTTTTTTTTTTTTTTTTTTTTTTAATTCCCTTCACATAAAAAAAAAGTTGTTTTCTCAAGACAAGGTGAAAAGGTTATCAAGGGGTAGGGGCTTTCAAAACAGCAAGTTCTATTTGTGTGGGGTTTTTTTGCTATCTTTCTTATATAACTATTTTTAAAATTGCAAGAAAGAAAGAGCTCGTCCTCCAAAAAAAGTAAGGTTCTCTGCTTTTTACTCTCAAAAAAGGAGTGTTGCTGGTAACTTTTGAAACAAACACAACCTACCCCTGCACTTTTGGGTAAGAACCTTCAGCATCATTCCAAAAGAAGATTACAAAGCTCTGACAAGGGGCTGTGCTAATGGAAACGGTGTCAGGCAAGCTATAACTCAGGGACAGTTCTGTAAATATCGCTGGTGCATCGGAGCCAGGAGGTCAGCAGTTCAGATCGCTGGCCCTGGGCTTGTGGCCAGGGCTGAAAGCACAGCATGGCTTTGTGTAAAGGGAGCGCTGCTTTCCTTTGAGGTAAGACGTGGAACGAGTGGGGTTTGTCAAGTGCAATGGTTCCCTGAGGGGGGGAAAAAAAATCCATAGCATTTTTCTTAGAGAGGAAGAAGGGAATAATGGAGGCAGCCCGACCAGCTTTCCATTTCTAATTTAATCAGCCTCGCTATATGACCCAGGAGTCCTATAATGGCTCTGTTGATTAGAAAACCAGCTTTGGTTAGATCAAGAACAGACAGAATCGGTTCCCTTCATTTCAGGATCTTGTCCAAGTGACTGTGGATTGTTTTTAGACTAATCTTTGCGTCTTAGAAAAAGCAGAAATGGAGTTATGGGGACAGAGGGGAGAACATCAATCACTCTGAAGAAACTGTAAACTGTAAATTCTGAAAATTTCTGAAAATAAACACTCCATCTTTTTCTTTCTGTGGACGAGGATGCAAAAACGTCTTTTATTTCTGTCTCAACCCAGTTTTGCTTTGGGCCTCTCCCAAACTGCTCCCTTCTGCAACGCTGCAAATGGCAGTTCCTGGTTTGAAGGCCAGTAAAATGTTTTAAGATACTGGACAGGCAGTGTGATATATGGCCCAGGCTCCGTATTTACCATAAACACTCGTGGAGGATAGTTAGCCCCGAAATGCAGACTGCAGAGTGCTGTAGCCCTGATACTTACCATATGGGCATTGAGCTGCTCTCTCGCTGTTTCTGGTAATCCTCCAACTGGTTTCGATGCCAACAGCGGCCGCTCGGTGTCTGTCAGCCATTGCTGCATGTCTTCAACTTCACCATGGAAACCCTGGGCCTAAATTACACCGCATCGTTTTAGAGCCTGCTTAAATGTTTTCCGCTCTGATATTAACTCAGAGGTGGCAGTTATGCTGGCAGCAGATTCAATCTGGTATTTGCAATAACCCACGGGGACTCCAAAACAAAATCTGAACTTGCTGTACGCAGTACCAACATTAAAATCAACAACAAAAAGCAGAACTCATGAAAGAAGGCTAAGTGAGCAATGTGGGATCAATGTTTTCACTGAATAATGCATCTATACATAACTTGCAGCTCTCTAAAATGCCTAGGTCAAAATCTGCAGGCTTGACTCAGCGCTATCAAAGACAGTGGCCAGCTGTGCAAGATACAGCTGGATCAAAACCTGCTCTTACATTCACGAGCCTTCCCCATTATGGTTTTGATTTAGGCCAACTTCTAATGCAGGTGTCTACATATTTCATGATAAAATGCTCCTTTTCTGCGTTCTCTCTTATTTAACCGTGTCCTACTCACCTGGATCAGGGCCTTGTCCAGCTGCTGTTTCCTTCGTTCTGTTTTTTTCAGCACGTTTTGCCAGCGCTGATCCAGCAGCTTCAGCTTGTGCCGTAGGTTACTGGCTTTTTCTACGGCGTTTGATTCGATCAGGTCGTTTCCCGCTTTCGTAACAGCTTCCACCGTGGACTGATGGGCTAAGACATCGTTCTGCAGCACCTGCACGTGGGACACAGCGTTTATGGCCACGTTGGTTAACTACAGCAACTGAGCTACTGTTTAAAATTAGCACTGCTACTAGCAGTTCAAGCTGCATTAATTWATCTCCCTTCAATCAAAAGCACTAACACCTAATATGATGGATTTCATCAGTCATTCATATATTTTTATACCTAGCTAAAATAATATATTCTTTCCCAATAATAACACATTTGTGAAAGGTTTCTGGTACTGCTGGCGAAGAACATATATCTACTATCACTTCACTCAACTTACTACATATTTTCTGTAATTATACTTCTGTTTGGAGAGGACGTTGTGGAAATATATAAGTATTGCTGGTTACCCACGGAACAGTAGGGTTACAGGACTGCAAAGGTGACACCATAAAAACTCCTCAGAGCTGGCTAAAAACCCATTCCCAGGAACCACAATAGAACTGGAATGAGCAGTAAGTAGCTTGGGGAAGAGGATGCTGTTTTCAGAAAGATTTCCAGAAGACTAAGGTAAGGCTTTAAAATCAAAGGACAGAAAAACAAGATCTGCAAAAAGTTTAACAGGGAATAATAAACCAACCCCATCTGAAAAATTCAAGTTTATGGCAGTCTTCTGGAGGTGTGGCTCAAACTCCTTTCCCTCAGAATGCTGCCACATGGAAAAGAAAACGTAAACCAACCTCCCAAGGAGCTTTTCAACAACAYACACAGAGTGTTTGGCTAAATAGGGAGTTACAGGTAGTCCTCATAGGCAGGAAGTGCACCACATTTGTATTATCTCTTCTAAACTAAGCTCTAAAGATCTTAGTTCTTCTTTCCCAAATGAAAAAAGGGTCATTCACAGAAGCAGAGGCATCTTCTTCCTTCCCTCCTTCCTTCCTTCTGAGGCTCACTAAGAAAAAGGTTTGTTCTTTCTGAAGTTATTGAAGAGATGGCTGTTTTTCCAGGCTACCAGAGGAAGTGCTACTGTGTGAACTCTCTAACCTATGCACTCTGGTTTCTGCAAAGGAAGCAGCCTGGCTCGGGTGCTTGCTGAAGGCCTCCAGCACCCTGCCTGGGTGGAGTCCTCAACAACATCTGGGTGTCCTGAAGCAGCAAAACAGACCTCTGTTCACTGAGACCCCATGGGTTCCCTCAGGTGCACGTTGGGGTGGTGGTTCTGCTTTTAGAGGCAGGTTACAGTAAGAGCAGACACAAGGGACATGTACTTATTTCCCACGGCTCAAGTTCCCGCAGAACACACAGACAGCTCCACAAGCTGCAGAGAAGCTGCAAAACTGCACTAACATAGACAAYAAAACGTGAAAAATATTTTTATGCTGTTACATTCCATCTATTCACTCCAAATCCAAGAAGAACTGTGAACAGGGATTCTTTTCACATGACAGACAAAACGAAATTTAAATGGCAGATTTCAAGGGAAGGAGGAGATTYATGAGGGTAATATGAAATCTTCAGCCCTAAGAAGAAGCCACCTCGTCGGGAATAGCCACACAAACAGGTAGAGAAGATGTCTCCCTCTTGGAAGATACTTCCCAGGCCCTCCAGGAAAAGCCCTCTTCTTCCAAGGGCTCCAAAGGCACACTAGTCTTTAAAAGTAATTACAAAACCTACTTTGTAATTTACGAAGACATAAAGAGGAAGGCAGGGYTACCCCTAAGGTTGGCTGGGAATTTGAGAGCAGCTCCCTTGTTTAGTTGGTCACGACTGAGATACAATTTTGCAGATTTTCCTAGCAAATTGCTTTTGCTCTGAGAGGGAAGAACCAAGAAGCCCAGCTGTTCCAATGTGTAAGTGCTCTCTGTAAGCCCTGGCCCAAGCAGAACTGATCAAGGAGCTCATGGCTTCAGGGAGAGCAGCAGGCACGACGACTTTGGAGCTTTCTGGGTCAAATGAAGGTGAATGAAGGTGCAGACCAGAGAGAGCTGCTCTTTTTCAAGAAAACTCATACCAGTTGCTTGGTATATGCAGGGAAGGAGGAAACACAGAGGAGCAAGAGGAAAGATACTAGTTACTCACTTCCAACTCTGCATTTTAGCCTTAATCTGCACCTTGAAAATCTCTACAAAGAATTATACATCAAGCACGAAGCTTTACAACAACACTCATCACTAAGATAAACATCACAAGACGGTTTCAGTTAATATTGAGGATAATTACGTACATGATGCTTGGCAAGTTCGATTTCAATAGCCTTGGGGTCTCCACCCACAGGTTTCTGCTCGTTCAGCAACTCTTCTGTATGTGTCAGCCACGTCAGTAACTCATCCAGGGCATGCTGGAACTGCCCCAAGGCCAACAAGGCACCCTCCAGCTTGTGCTGCAGTGAAAATAAAATAAATTTAGCAATAAAACGGCTTCGTGATGCTCTTGAATCGGCTTAAGTTACCACTAGCTGCTGCGTTCACTGAGTGGGGCTCTCATCTATCTGACAGCACAAAAAACAGAGAAACAGTTACCGGAGAAACTGCCTCTGCAGCTAGAGCTGAATTAGCACTTCCATTGTAAACCAGGCTTACTCACAAACCAGGCTTAAATTCCTCACCATTAGAGATCTCACAGGGTTGGCAGATTCACTCCTCAGAAATAYGGTAGTAGTTTTTGTAATCCGAGGTATTAATTTTAACACAAATGCAACCTGGTGTATGAACTTTTTAAAGCTGTTTCTTTGCAGTGAACTGTGTCAGCTGAGAAAGAAATACACTTCAAAGCACTGCATCTCTAAATACCTCTSTTTCCCCTTGATAACTGGTTTGGAAACAACATGAAATAGTTTAATACTTTTAAGAGAACAAGTTCCACTCAGCAATTGATGCTGATTTTGTACTGATAAACATGTGTTTAACTGCTTAAGACTTCACCAAAAAGAAACCCACAACATGATTTGATGTGACACTGTTGACTGAGGAAGGTACACAGAAATACTTCCAAGGGTCTAAAAGCATGAAAGAACATCTTTCCTTCAACATCTACGTCATGAATGAAGTCCTCCCTTTCAAGTTCATTTACCTGTCTATTGATGATTTGTTCTTCTAGTTTGTCCCACAGTAGTTTGAGCTCCGAGAGCGGGTCTTGAACCGTGTGGCTGTCACTTTCCTTGGTCACCTTCTTCAGCAGCAGTTCTGCCTGGTGGTTCAGTCTTTCCATTTCTATCTGCTGCTGATACGCCTCTGTCTTAAATTGCTATGATGAATACAAAAAGAACACAAATAAATGGACCACAAGGAATGACCATTTTGGAGGCAGCACAGTATAGCCACGCTTGCAGTACTAATGCAGCATTGTCAGCTTTCATAAATTTGGGGTTTTCTTTAATATTGGTGCTATATAAACATATTTCTTGGGTCACAGTGCATGCAAGGCACTGATAACCCAGACGATCTCAAATCATTGAAAACAGGCAATCTGATAACCCAGACAGTCTCAAATCATTGAAAACAGGCAATAATGTCTCACTACTCCATCGGAAATTGCTAATTGTGAAGAGAGGATGATGAAGGTAGATGCTAAATGTAAGATTATTCTCTGAAGATCTCTCTGGTTTGTAACAAAGGCCAAATACAACCTGACTAATTTGCAGCTCTTGTGGCTGTGATAATACAGTCCTCTGAACTTATCATAGGATTATTGTTCAAAAGATCTAAGAGCAAATTTTCTTAAGCAAAGCACCCTCCTATAAGGGCACCTTTGGATGCATACGTGCATTATTATTTTGAATTTTGTAACGTAAGTCATTACTGTTCATATGAAGTTGCACCATAAAAATAGATTAAACAACCTGCCCACAGACAAGAAAAGAATGTATAAGACAGGAAGAAGASCAAGGGCTTCCACTTGATCATTACGTGATTCCATGTCCCCGGCTTTTATTTAAAGTACGTATAGTAATTTAGCAATGTCAAGAGCATATCTAGCCAAAGACCTGTACCAAAAGATTTCTAAGTTAGCCTGAGATTTAGATTTACAGTAAACTGGATCTGCTGATAGCAAAACCACATGACCTGTTTGAGCATTTTAGTAGAACCTATAGTGACAGAAATGAAAAGCTTTGGGAGCATTTTCCCAGTGTCTCAAGAAAATTGCAAATGTTGAACACAAGAAAAATGAAAAGGTCATCACAAAATAATCCTCTTCATAACCTTTGAAAGAGAAGAAGAGAAATGGCAAGTGTTTGTCAGCTATCAGTGCATATTCACAGAATAAAAGGCAGTGTTGCCAAAATCAATGCTAAACTTCAGCCATGCATTTTAGAAGGAAAAGTCTGCAATGAAACGGATTTTGAAATTTTCACAGATTCTTTTGACTGAAAGTTGAAAACAAAAATTGCTGTGACTCTTGAAAAATACAGGAAAATACCAAACAATACAGAAAATACAGTCAGATAAAAAAAATAAATGAAATATTTAGCTAGCTCATACCTTGAGTTCCTCAGTTTGCTGCTTCACTGTTTCCAGATCTGTTCCAACGGGAGACATGGCTGCTAACTTGCTGACAGCAATGTCCACCCAGTCAAATATAGCCTGAAAGTCACAACATGAAATGCCAGTGTGAGAAGAGACAAACTGTATTAAAATCTGGTTTATCAGATTACTCCGATAACACTAATTCCAACCTTCAGGATTCTGTGATTCTATGAATTGCAGAGGAGAAGGAATCCCTCTGCTAGACCCTTTCCGGGGGCTGTTGGCCGATGCTCGTGAAGCAGGAGGGGCTGGCGGAGCTGCCTGCTGCTCCCCAGCTCCCCAAGGCCCCAGTGGGGCACGAGCCCCACAAGCCCCACAAGGGGCAGGCAGCTGGGGGCAGCTGGGGGCAGCTGGGGGCAGCTGGGAGCCGGGCGCTGCCCCTGCCCTGGTGCTTCCTGCAGGGAGCAGAGGGGAGGCACCCTGCCCGCACCAAGGGCTCGGCGTGCCCAGCGCCAGCCTCCGTGGGAGTATCTCTGGAAAAATACATCGTGAGGTGCCCTGGGAAACTGTCACAGCGCGTTATCACTAAGGAATGCTGGAGCTGCACAGAATACACTAGCAACGTGGGTCAGAGACAGGTGAAACTGCAGTTTTTAGATATTTAAGGAATCGAGAAAGATAACAATTTCACCCAGCCAAAAAAAAGAAATTTGCAAAATGTGATGTTTTGAAATCTTTTCAAATGTTTCAGTCTTCCAACCATTCACTGACAGAACACAAGACATATAGTGCAGAAGATGTCTTAAAAATTGCCAGAAAATTTATCTACAGATTAAAAGAGAATAATAATCTTCTGAAGTACTAGGACTGGATAAATTATATGTTTGTACAGTGGTCCCAAAATATATTCTTAATACTTTTTGGTTGTTTGTTGCAAATATTAAAGTTTGTTTACTTAACTGACTGCTAAAAGGTTTCAGTAAAACTGAAATGACCTAACTTTGTTCTCTGCCCAAACAAATGGTAGGAGTGAATACATGGACCAGCATCCTGTTACYTTCAAACCAAGCAGTGTATCAGCCATCACTGGAAAATGGGAGCAGAATTACCATGCATTTGTGTGCTGCTGCTTTCATCATTAAACACCAAAACTATAATTTGGGATTTCAACATACTGCAATATGTGAACAATTACAAGAAAGCAAATGAATATGGTTATTATCTAATGTAAAAAAAAAAAAAAAAAAATTCATCATTAAACACCAAAACTATAATTTGGGATTTCAACATACTGCAATATGTGAACAATTACAAGAAAGCAAATGAATATGGTTATTATCTAATGTAAAAAAAAAAAAAAAAAAGGCAAATAAACCCCTCCAAACCACGTCTGCTGAAGGAAATGGGACCCGAGTGAGGCACGGCCTTTCATCTGCCCCACTGCAGAAGTTCCTCAGAGCACGGGGCTGCATTAGGGGGGCAGAGCAGCTTACCTGCAGGCCATCCTGGTACTGCACAGCGGCCTGCATCGCTTCGGCCAGCTTGTCCACCCGCTCCTTCCATGCTTTGTTTAAGGCATCCCAGACAGAATACAGCTGCAAATGTTTGATCAGTTTAATCCAGTGGCCAAAGAGAATTTCACTGCAGTATAATCGGTGTTCACTAACTAGTCACTAATCACTAATGCAATCCATTAAGCATATTTCGTATTCATTTCACATAAAAACCCTTCTTCTCCCAAGCAGAATTAGTTTCCTTCAGAAGATACTAGAAGTTCTGGATTACAGAAGCTGTAATAATTCAGCTCAGCCTCTAATGATTCAGATACAGCCTCTACTGATTACTGAGTATTCTCATTAGCATTGAGGTTGCAGTTAGTATGGGAAACACTGTAAGGAACTGCTGTAGAGCTGCATCATTATAATGAAGGCAGACTTTAAAAGGAACTTAAAGAGCTGAACATGAAAGAAATCAGGAAGAAACTGGATAATGTGTGCACACATCCAAACAGGACTGGCTCAGATCAGGTTTCKCACTTGGCATCAACTAGATATGTCTGAAACCCAGTGTTACTTTTGCACAGTTCTATTCCATTTATTCTATTAATAGGTGAATACTTTCATCATCTCTTACAAAATCTAAGAAAAAAAATTAATCAAATCAAACTTGCTATATATAGCAATCTGAGTCAATATTCATTTAAGCAAATGGCAAATTTTAACACAGAAGCTTCAGAGAAAGCTTACTTTTTTTCTTCCTCTCCCCTTGCCCCTAACCCCCCCCTAATTTTCCTTAATTTTCAAAATATTTGGGGGAAAAGAAAACACCAATTTCATCTGTACAAACATCTAACATTAGAGATGTAAGCATCTGTATTTCCCATACCTCATCTATGCTCTTGTTGACAATAGGTTTATCAGGCTCTCCACAAGCAGCTATAAGTTCAGAGCCAAGGTTCACAACTGCTTCTAGATCTTCCTGCAGTCCATCGATTTCTTCTTTAGCAGCCTACAAGCAGGAAAAAACAATCCAAAGCTGCTAATACTGAATTTAATAATTTACATGTATCTTGCTTTTAAGGTTGAACACTGCAGGCTTTGGCTTCTGTTTTCTTTTAAGTCACCTGGACTTAAAACTGGATCTTTAAAGATAAGCAGCCCTCTGCAGTGGCAGAGGGAAACCACCTGACAYTGGCCTGAATTATACCAATGGCCTACGATGACATTTTCTGAGATGACAAAATAAACAGGAAGCCTTAAATTAGATTTCTTTAATCAGAATGTTTTCTATTTCCAAGATTATTACTGTACTTTCAAATCCTTAACTATCAGTACAAATAATTAGAGGCTTGCAGCRTAACATACACATCTGTATGCCTTTCATTCAGATGTTATGTATCACTCAGGGAATCTAAACTATGTACAACTATAAAAAAGCCCTGTACCTGGCCTATTATACATATGTTCATAAACAAATATGTAAATGTAATGACAGGCACAAGTTACACGCTCAGTGCAATTAAGCCCTGACACCTATCATTTGCCACAGGCTCCTCCGAGAGCATTACAGTCGGTTTCTACCTAATTATCCTCCTTGGTTTCTACAGGAATTCCTCTGTGGCATTTCAYGGGAATTCTGCCTTTTCCCAGGGAAGTGAAAATACAAATCCTTCAGGRCAAGCGAACACTTCCTACTGACCTCTGCGGCTTCCTGCTGCTGCTTGACCACAGAGGGGTCGACGCCGGGGCCCTCGAGGCCCCGAATGAAGTCGTGGGTGTCTTTGAGAGTGGCCACCAGAGCCGTGTGATCGCACCAGAACTTCTCCGCTAGCTCCATTGCATCCAACAGTTTGGCCTCTCTTTCCTCGGTCAGCGCCTGGATGTCTGCCCAAGTCGCGGCCATTTGGTCCAGTTTATCTTGAACAGCTAGACGGAAACGGAACGAGTTTACTATCTTGGCAAGCAATTCTTGGCCACAAACACCTCTATAGCTCAACAACAGACACAGCTGTATGTATGCATTTTAACTTCAGACGCTAGATTGCTGCTTTACAGGCCTCTCTCCATAATGTCAACGGGAAACAAGCAATACAGCCTTTAAAAATAAATCAGAGTTCATACCCAGGTGGAATTATTAAACTAGTGCCTTGCTTCAGCAGCTTCCCCAGGAGAACACAGCTCCCAGRGCAGGAGTAAAAAATGCAGATATTTATATACTGCAGCTTGCTGTATTTCAGCCACACAAAACTTCCCTCAACTTCCTACCTTTAGCAGATATATCCTTATCAGCTCCTTTTGAGCGAGCAATCATTTCCTCCCCTCGCTTTTTCAGCGTCTCATACACGGGCTGAAGTTTCTCCAGATCCATTGACACGTTCTTATTTTCACTGATCTGCTCTTTAATCTTCTCAACCTCTGCAGAGATGGAAGGGGGCTGCCTCAGGCGTTCGACTATGCGCTTCAGGCTCTCCAGCGTGGCATCGATCTTGTCGTGGAACTGCGAGAGCAGAAGGGAGGAGCAGAAAACCAGGCAAAAAAAAAAAAAAAAGATTAAAAAATGCATCTCAAAGCTATCTTGGAAAAAAAAAAAAGTGCTTTAAAATAATATTTAACATCTCTAACAACTTCAGAATATCCCCTGTGGTTCTTTCACTCCTCTAAATTACAAAGATGATCTTGCAAATTGATACTTCCTCTCCGGTTTAAGAGCTACAGAGCTTTGCTTTGAAGTCTGGTTACTCCCATTAGGCTCCATCTAAAGATAATTTACATGTAGCAGCATTTATGTGCATGTAGCCCTGCACAGCTAATAGACAACTTGGTGTTGTGTTCTCGAGAGCCACAGCTTTCCAATTTCGTAAGTTTATAAAGGTATTTAACTTAATATTAAATACAAGGCCAAAAAATATATACTGAGTGCACATTCTCATACCATGACCATTATATGGCATCTAAACATGGCTTAAAATTTGAGACAGAGGGGCATTCACAAAGACTTGCTACTGCCCAGGTAGTGCTGGTTAGTGCTGTAAAAGCACATCATTTGCTGCAACTAAAGGTACCCTGGAGTGTCTACRACGCCCACCCACCTTCGACTGAGCCCAGGTGCCTACATACTCAATTRGAGCTGTGTCAGCAGGGTTCCTGCCTTGGTACAGGCCCAAAGTTCAACTCCAATAGATCCCTTTGGATCTCTACAAATTGCAGCAGGTGACTCACCATCACGCGGGTGTCACAGCAGGGAAATTAATAACTGTGGGTGAAACTTATGATCCACCAGGATCTACCAAGAGCTCTYGCCTTTGCGCTTGGGAAAGGTGCTGGAAGGAGCACGGCAAGGCAGAGCTACCTGATACATAACAGAGCCTGAACTGAGATTCATGCCTAGGGTACGAAGCTACACACGTAACTTTTATGGACTTGATCTCAGTTTTAGGCTTCTCGTGACATTTTGTGAAGTCCAGTTTGCAGAGTTGGTTGGTGAGGTGCACATTGCCTGCTCAGGCATCTACCTGCATTGTAAGTTCCTGTGCACTTATAATGAAGTGTAAGTGATAAATTACCACTAACTCTGATAAGGAGCTCTCTAGTTCCACTGGTAAAAGGCTGCAGCTGAAGTTGCCAAGGTCTAGATACAGATACGTGCAAGTTATATATATAACTGATTRACACTGGTATCCACAGGTGAGTGAAGTATCAACTAACAACTCATCACTAAGAGAAAGGGAGTAAGGTAGAAATAACCCCCCCACATTTTTAGCCCAGCTGTTCCTTTTTCAATTTCAAAATAATAGCTTGAGAAGAGAGGACATTTTGCAAATGCAGCAGAATCACAACCCTGATCAATGTGKAACATTAGAGCCCCCTGGCAGCTARAAAAYCAATACCAGCAGCAGCGCTAGGAACATCCACAGACCACTTGGTTGAAAAATCTAGATAAACCAGCAGTTTGGTCTTGATATATCCGCGTGAGGCGGCAAAGTCGGCGTRTCCTTCCATCCAAATGACTCCAATTGCCCTTCAAACTTAAACAGATACCTGGGCACACTGAGAAATGGCTTCATCCAGCGCCAGCGCTCGCTTTTTGACATCCTCCTTAATTTTGTTGTACAGGTAGTCAGCTTTCGTGTATTTCTCCTGGATGGTGAAGCCTTCTGCTGGGCTCAGCTCCAGCAGCTGGGGCCCCGTTTTGTTCATCTTATCCATGTGGGGCTTGTGCTCAGCGATCAGCTCACGCAGTTGCTGTAACAAACCAAACAACTTCTCAGTCCCTCCCGCTTCCAGCACCGTGCTCCAGCTGCCTGCACTTCCCATACATCCAGCTGGGAGCAATTCCCAGCAGGCACTCTTGGTCCAAATGCACAGCACAAATAATATCAAGTCCAGGCAGCGCTTGCTCTGCCCGTGATGGCTCACTTTCCAACACTGGTGGCTCTCCACTCATAAACCACCCCAGTTAAAGTCATACTGGAAAGGGCTAGGCTACAAACCTGCAGAAAACTGCAGGCAAGATGCTAYGGGTGCACTGGCCAGGGGCAACAGSAGCCCCTGTCCCTTTTGGCCCCACAGGGACAGAAGTGGCTGCAGACACGTGTGGACACCTCCAGGCACATCCCTTGCATGCTCAATACTTGTATTGAGCACTTTGCTTCCATTTATTTTACCAGCAGATGTGACAAAGGGGCAAGTTTGGGAGTTGCCTGGTGTTTCTTGTCACTTTGACTTRTTCCCTCAGTTCTCACCTCCCTGTTCAAAACCCTAGTGGGGCTTCCTGCCTTCCAGGGCCGTGAGACATTGATCCTGGAGCAACTGGGCAGGAGCAGGAGAGGCCAGAGTAGATGGATGCTCTGCTGCTTCTAGCTCAGGCTTTGTTTAAATTAATGAAGGCTCAGAAAGGGCCTTGTATCAGCCCCAGTATAAATAAGTCCTCTTTTATTCAGCTGAGAGCAGAGAGCCTGATCTGAAAGCCTAGATGTGCCTCCCCAGAAGAGAAGGCTGAACGAACAGTGACCCTGATTGTCCACTGTCCTCTGATGGCAAAAAAGCAATGCAAATACAAGGAAAATTGTCTCTAGCAATTCTATTTGTTCATGTTGCAACAAGGAAAATCAAGTTGTTTAGAAGAGGAAAGAATAAACCAARAAATGTTTTCAAAGTTGTCAGAAAATCATCTTATGTATTTGATTTCTGTTCACTAACAGATCACTTCAAAGAAAGCAAGAAAGTCCCCATGTCTAAGTACAACCCTTATGTTAGTAACCTGCCCAAGGGTAAATTCCTGCTAGATGGACTGCATGTCACTAACACAGGTAGCTCTGTGCGGGTTGCCATTGCAGGCAGAACAGCTAATAACCAGTAAATAAATACAGATATGTAAGTGAACATATCAGCAAACAGACATTCACTTCTGTAAGTGAATACAAAAAAAGTCTACTCACATTCAGATTGACTTCTTTTTTTTTTAAAATATAATTATAAATGATTTAGTCTTTGCCGTGACCAACTACTGAATAAACAACTCTAGTGAATCAGTGTTTCAGATCAGATTGCTTATTAAAATTGCTTGGCATTAATCTCATACTTAACAAACAAATCTTCAGCTAATAGCATCGCTCAGGGAAAATACGAAAATAGAAACTCATGTGAGGAATAATTAAAGTAGATGGGGARCAATTCTGCCAGTAAAGCAGCATGATTTGGGTCATGGTGACTACTGCAGGTATTTTGTAAAGCTCATAAAATACAGTGAGTCTTAGCAGAAAATGCCTGTTCACTGTGGACCTAATAGGAAGGCAAATGAGGGAAGGCAGTGTTTGCCAGCACAAATGAGGGGCACATGGTCATTAACCAGCCTCCAARTAAACAAGACTTGGAGTTCATCCTGTTTAATTTAAGGCACTGAACGGAGGAAGCTAAAATGCAGTAAGAGAAATCCTAGTTATTCCATGCTCAGTGGGGACAGCCAGGTTATCTCCAGTGGAAATTCAGGCTTTGCAAGTTTTAAAACCTCTTGTTTGTTGGCGGGATAGATATGGTTTCAGGTAGCCACATATGAAACATACTTTTTGTGTTTTTTATTCCAGTTGATTATTCCTCTATATAAGAACGCCTACATGGAGCCCAGCTAACAAAACTCTAGTCCTTACTTTGTAATATTATGGTGAATATTTTTTTCTTTTAATTATTATAAAATTTTTTTATATGAGAAATGCCTAACGGATTTGCTGGAATCAAAACAATGAATTATTGCCCCCCTACTCTTCTTGGCTCAGCAAAGTTTAATTTCCATCATGCCAGCCAGTCAAACGCTAAATTTTCTGACATTCAGGATATCAGTATATGTGCATATTTGCACACAGACACACACAGGCAATGCTTCCCTTTCAGCAGGCTCACAGCARGCACTCCAGTTGTCCTGCTTTCCTCTTTCTCATTTCTCACTGCAGCTTCCAATCTCCTTCCTATCTGTTTATGAGTCTGGTACACTCTAACACAGGCACTTAAGGACACTTTTAAACATACTTTTAAGCTATTAACTTTTGTAAGCCCAGATACCTCACTATAATGGCAATCTTCTTTCCTTTCTAAAGCTCTTATGCTTTTCATGGTGTTTGCTGTCTTCCCCAGACAATCTTGTCTGCATGCAGAATTTGGGAAACAGGGTTATTTCAAAAATATATTTTGCATCAATAAATAACMTATTTTGACAGCAGTATCACTGCTTGGGTTTTAAACATTCAACTGAGTACTGCACAATTCGAAGAAGATCACGACGTGCTTTGTGATGTGTTAGTTTTAGAAAACAGCACAGTTCTTACCCGTTGCTCTTCTTGTTGTTGCTTTAAAGTTTCATATTCAAGGGCAGGGGCAGGAAGCTGAGCGATGACCTTTTCTGTCTCAGTTAACCACGGCCAAAATTCTTCGTAAGTCTCCCAAAACTGGTTAACCAGGGACTGAGCCCGTTCCAGCTGGAGGTTTCTCTCGGAGTTTATGTTAAAGAGTCTATCAAATGTCTGTAACATGTTTTCCACTTTTTTCTATGGAATAATATTAAGAAAAAAATAGCAATACATGACTTTACACACTAGGTATTGGTAAGACCTCTATCGCCCTCGTAGCTAAACAGTCTCTGGTCTTAGCTCCATCTACAGCACCTGAATTTTATTTTCAATAACATTTCTGTAGTTCCAGAGGGTTTAAAATGGACGGGATCAATACAGCTGGAGATCTGAATTTGGCAGAGTACTTTTAAGGTAATCAAAGCCTGCTTACGTGTTCTCCCCATAATAATGTCTGATATTTACAGAAGACAGAGTAGGGTGTACTGAACTGCCATTAATAAATAGTATGACAGAACTACAAGGTTTAAATATTACAAAACATCTTTCTTTGGACACATGATAATAAAAGTTACTATCAACTTGCTATACATTTTTCCTATGGCAAGCTGCCCACGTTATCATTTTTTTAGGGGGAAACATTATAAGTGGCAATACACATAAGTGCTAGTCTTGGAAAAAAAACAGACATTTAAATAAGCCATTGACTGTGAAGTAGCAAATCTGCTTTTGGCAGAATGAGTCAAAATCTGTTCATTTGTTATGCCTCACATGTAAATTAAGAATAGTGATGCTATCCAAAGGTCAAAATACAGTCTTACACACGTATACATGCATATTTTTAACTAATACTAATATTTAACAAAGGCTCACATTAAATTGTTCTCCCTTACTTTAATGGCTAGCTGTTAATCAATCAAATATCTTGGCTGTTCTAAACTTAAGAGTACAATAAATGTTTTCAGAGTCGCTGCAGCAGAGCACAAGTAGCAAAGTCCTAGTTTGCAAGGAGGAAAGTCAGGCGTCTTAAATGCCAATAGAAAAAAAAAATCACTTTTATGGGGGGGGCAGTGTATAAATATATATGTGCTTGTGAGTATATATATAATATATACACACACACAAGCACATGCACACATCCTGAGGTTTCTAAGAATGCCTTTTTGTTAATATTTTAAATGATATGCTATCAGAATCCTTCTACTTTATATACTGTCTTCAGACCCACTGCTGTAGCTGCTGCTTATAGAACTCTACCTTCACAGACTTCTTCTCTTCTTTAGTGCAGGTTTCCATAATCCCCTCCCCACGTTGCACAAGATCATCGACGTGTTCTTTGTGCTTCARTATCTCCATGGTCAATGCCTTGAAACACAATAAAAACTGGTCAGTGATAAAAAAAAGAATTGAGTACATGAAGCAAAAACTATTTCTGACGTTCATTATGATGGACTGAAAATTAAATCAGGCCAGTACATTTGCTAGATGGAGAGTGTGCTGGCCAGTAATTACCAGGACAGTTGGAAATGCATTTCTTTTACCTTTTGAACTTGTAACTGAGCAGTGGTCTGGTCTCGCTCAAGCCTAATATCACCCAGAGACATCAGCTGCTTGATTGTTTTTTTAGCCCAGACTATTTCGGCCTCCGTGGCTTTATCAAACTAAAAGAGAGAGACACTCATTAGTTCAGCAATTCTATAGACATGAAATTAGAATGACTGCTTCAACATTTTCTAAGGCAATTAGAAAGCATACTTGTACGAATTGTAAGGAAGACAGTTGTTTCCTTTCCATAGGAGGTGTTTATATAAATGAATTACAAGGCCCGCAATGGTTCTGGGGGATTTAATACAATCCGCTCAACTCATAAGCATGACAAAGTTGGAGCAGAAAGACACAGATGTATAATGTATTTTCTCCAAAGCCTACACTTCTCTGACAGACATCATGAGCAAACTCATGSGTTTCAGAATTTTTACCAGACTGTTTGTTTTACTAGATGGTTTATTTTCGTTTCATGCAACTTTCACACGTCTTTTCCATCTCCYGATAATGTTTATTATTACTGCTACTGTTGTAACTACCCTAAGAAATAGTTATGTGATAATATCCTTTCAATCAGAAAAACTGCTTTGATATTATATAATAAAAAGGGAACAAAAATCACAGTTCAGCTGAAGTCACTGACTTCAGAGAACACAGAATTTCATTCAAAACCTACACTGTGGATTACAAGCAAAAGTACTTTTGAGCATTTCAGTAGAGCCAGTCCTTACAGGACTGAGCTTTCATTACCATAAAGCAGTATCTTAGATGGCTTAAAAACTACCTTAGAGCATTTCAGATTGAGAGGATCTGTTCCTTACTAATTTGTAAAGGACAACAAGAGAAAAGAAATACAAGAAGATCCAATTATTCTGAAAAGTAAGAGTAAATTTAAATACATATGTGTGTATATACATACACAATTTTTTTATTTTCTCTATCTATATATTTATAGGTACACATCTTAGCACACATCTATGGCATCACTGAATAGTATGGAGTTTAAGTCGAAACAATCTATGATATGGGAATCTTAGATGCAGATAAAGTTCCTAATGGAAACAATTAAAAACTGGTTTTTAAAGAACTCAGACCCCAGCTGCAACTAGCTGAACATTAATAAATCTAGGAGTTATTCTGCAGCCCATCACGATGTATCGTGCCAGAACCTACTGCACATCTTATTGACAGCTGCAGTGCCCTCACATTTCACACGATGCCATTCGCACTCCCTTTGATTTCAGCTCTGCGGGCCGGGACGTTTGGGGCTGTGCAAGAGCTTTGCTCCTGCAACACAGATGGATCTTCCTAGAGCCACTAAATCAGTCATGTCTTAGCAGTTAATTATGAGTCACACTGAAATAAAAGTAGTAATTTGGAGATTTCATTCTTTATGAGTCAGTCGTTATCAGTCTTTTTAATCCGTTTGTTACGAGAAACAGAGCACAAACATTCTTTTCCACTAGATGTCATTCCTCATTTAAAGAAATACATTTGAAGTAGTAATTTCTCCCCAACACTGTGACTTCCATACAGAAAAGTATGTTCTGAATCAATCAGTATTGCAGCATTTGTTACCAAACCCAGGCGCTGGTGATATTTAATTTCTGCATGAGRACATTTCACAAGCCAAACCTGCTCAAGTCCAGCTACTCGTTTCTCAAGTAAATGAGATGAGCAGGAAGATGCCAAATGGGCTAGATGTGCAAGGTAACTGCGTGTGACTTCCTGATATTATAGAACCATTTCTGTAATACACTGGACAAAAAATGAATGGAAGTAACAAAATCAAGGCATGGCAGTGAAACTTTTAGGTTCTGCAGCACTGAAGCTGGACAGATCTCTCCACTCCATTTACTGAGAAAAGAAGGATTTCTATGTTGTGATGTGTACACATAACATCAAGGAGTAAATCCCACAAAACTGGTACTGCCTGCCTCAGCAATTCAGTGTATTTTAGTGCCTCATAGGGCTGTTCACGAGCCCTGAGCTTTGCCTGAGCCCCTGGCCATCACGGACCTGCTTCACCCRCTTCAAAGGGCCACACGTCACTGCTGCTGTCCCTCCAACCAGGAAGGGCTGCCACCTGGGAGCCTGAGGGCTCTTMCTCCGTGRAGGAAGAATCACAGAATCACAGAATATTCAAGGTTGGAAGGGACCTCTAGAGATCACCTAGTCCAACCTTCCCGCTCAAGCAGGCACACCTACAGCATGTGGCACAGGGCGGCATCCAGGTGGGTTTTGAAGACCTCCAGAGAAGGAGACTCCACAGCCTCCCTGGGCAGCCTGTGCCATTGCTCTGTCACCCTCACAGGAAAGAAGTTCCTCCTCACCTGGAGCTGGAACTGCTTGTGTTTCAGCTTGTGCCCATTTCCCCTTGTCCTGTCGCTGGCCACCAATGAAAAGAGCTTATCCCCTTCTTCCAGAAGGGATGCCTCTGGGCTGCCTTTGGATGGAGAACAGCACCTGCCCTGCCTGCCCCCYGCCTCTGTGCAGCACTGCTTGCACCAAGGCAACACACGGACCTTCCATACTGAGAAATGGAGATAAAAATACACATAGGTGAAGTAATCCCTAGGATAATGCTGTCGGGCTGGGAGTGTTTTGCCCATGTAGCTCAAAAACCCAATGTCACTTTGCCTAGAATATCTTCAAGCTCCTGTCCACAAYGTGAAACCACCTTCTTGCCCTGTCACATACCTCACTACACTGGTCACCTTGAACAAGTTTCCACTGGATAGTTGCCACKAGCTCCTCCAAAAATATCTTTTTTATTTCGGATGTCTTTCTTTTTATGATGATTATTTTTTGCTCCATGCAAAGCAGCTTCTTCTGCATTGGAACTGTGTTAAGCTGCTTGGTGTTAACTAYGGGACAGAGCAGACAAGAGGGGTCTGCAGAGAGTGGAAGGCAGCGCTAGGCCCAGGCTAGGCCCGGGCTGGGCTAGGCTTAGCAGCCACATTCCCTGGCAGCAGGGCCCACCACAGCAGCAGCTCCAGCCCTCAAGTGCCAGGGCTTGGACCTGTGCAGGAGGCGCCCGCAGGTGCAGCCTCCTCACCTCAGGAATTGGCAAGAGCTGGAGCAGAGCCAACGAGCGCTCTCCTGTCACACCTTATCACTCACCAGGGAACAGCCCTTCGTTCCTAAGGATTCGCTTAATGAAACAAGATAATGCTCATAGCAAAGCCCTTTAAAAAGTTAAACATTAAGTTATTTTTAGCCTGGGTTATAGGCAGATCTGAGTTGCTGCCAGCCTCCTTTAGTCAGCTTTAGTCAGTGTCTTTCGTGCTTTCTGCTTGTCCCGTTGGAGCTCTTTATGGGAACTATGAGCAGAAACAAAACTCTCTACTGATATTTTTATGCCTGAACTGTAGGCAGGCAGTGGAAAATTGCATCTCCACATTAAATTATTAACACAGAGCTTAAATATGGGACTATTTAGTGATGAAACAAGGTTACCAAAGCGTACCCATATATATTCATCTTTGTGTATGTGTACGTTTAGAAACCTGCATGTATTTAATAGCTGAATTTTTGCCCCTCAAGAGGAAAAGCTGTGCATGGGAACACAAGCAGCAGTTAGCTCAGCTCCTCAGCACASTGCGATCAGGATCCAGCCCTCAGCTGTGGAAAGCAGAGAGCAGCTGGGCGAGCAGCTGCTGCTAAAAGCTGCAGCCACACCAGAGCTTTCAGTGCCTCACCAGGAGAGCGTGTGGGGCCGGGGCTGGGCTGTGTGTGAGCAGGAAGGCCAGTGCCAGCAGCAGCGCCCCGGCCGGCTGCGCGCTGCTCTCCTCGCGCTGCTGCCAGCTCACACCTCCCAAACAGCTCAGCCAAGGGCCCCTGTGCGGAGGCAGACGCTGCCCGCAGGAGTGTTGTCCATGCCCCGGGCAGCTGCCGAGGCCTCGGTACCTGCTGGACTCTCTGGATGGCGGCGTCCACCTCGTGGGCCCTCCGCGCGATGGTGTCGCTCGCGGCTCGGTAGCGCTCCGTGGCCTCCGTGAGCATCCTGTCGAGGCCCTCCCTGGCCCGCCAGGGCACCAGCTCCAGGAGGGCGCTGCCCACCTCCGTGAGGGTGTCCACCAAGGCCCGGCGGCTCTCCGCTTCCTTCTTCAGTTCCTGCAAAAGGCCAGTTTGAGTCAAGGTCCCRAGCACAACACGCACAGTCTGTGCATGTGTCTTATTCCTCCAGCTGCTCCACGGGGCAGGAGCTGAAATGCTTCCCGAGCGAGCCAGAGCAATAAGTTGGAGCCCTTATTTCCAGCTCAGTTATGTTAGTTTTTGATATTCTAGGTTGTTTGATTGGAAAGCAGGAGATTCCTGAAGGGAAGTTTTCTGCAGGATATATCTTATGGGTATTTCTCCCATCATTGAACAGTCAGGAATTCTCTGGAAATTTAAGAGAGTTGCTAGTAATGAATCCAACAGCCACTGGAAAGGAAGCAAACACAGGGGCAGTACAAGCTGCAATTCCATAAGGAACAACATGAGCAGCAGGGGACACCAGGCCTGCAGTGAAGCCCAATACGTTGAATTCACGTGCCTGTTAAATCACCAATGATTGGATTAAATTTAAAGCAAATAATTACATAGTCTTCCAGGAATGACTTTGTATTTCTACAGGAAACCATGGTTCCTTTTTTTTTTTAATATTGGAATTGGAAGTGTTTTTTTTCCCCCCAACTGGGTTCTTACCATCCAGCTTATACTACAGTTCTTCTTTTGAAATGATTATTTATTGGTAAGAAGTATTATTAATATACTTTAAATACTGACTCCCTTTACAGTTTACAGGATCCTGCTCATGYCATAACTACAGAACCAAAATAACTTTGTTTGAAAATTTAAGAGTTTTCCAGGATTAGGTAGTTGTTTGAATGGAAAGAAAATGTTGTGCTTCTCTAGTGCTAAAAATAAGTCCCAGACCAATTTATAAGTGATTATACCAGATGACTTGGGAGAGGGAGTTTGCTTCTGAACTACTGTTACAAATGACCTGATGCTAAAATTAGTTATTCACAAAACAACTTCCTGCCAAACAGAAGTGAACACGAGACCTAGCTGAATAAACCAGCCATAAATAAAACACAGATTCCAAGACGTACTTTTTGTCTTTCTTGTGCTTGGGCTAGTTCCTTATCGCTCAGAATCTGCTTTTCACACGAGACGAGCTCCACTTCCACTTGGTTGAGCCACTTGCAGAGCTCCTCGTGCGTCGAGTGAAGCTGGCCCGCCAGCTGCAGAGCCTGCTCCAAGGTCTTGGCTGTATCCAAGCTCAGCTGTGTAATGTCTTTGTACCTTGCTTTAATGCTTTCCAGTTTATCTTGAATTATTACGACTTCGTCACCTGAAAGATCAAAAGAATGTCACTTCTATGAACAAGAATATTTAAAAACAACAACAACAAAACTCAACCAACCAAACCCCCCTGACTTATGAGAGCTGTTTCAATATTCAATTAAAAAATCAAACCAAAACAAAAGATGATGGGGACAAATGATCAACTGTTGTAAATTATTCTACCTTCATTGAGTCCATAAAGTCACAGAGGTTTCCTGTCAAGTCTTTCACTCTACTAAATGTTCACAAAGTCAGGATTAAGACCCTAAATTTAACATAAAGACTTTTTTAAAACAATCCTTAGATTTGCATTATTTCTCCTAAAGGCAAAAGCAGACTATAAAAGGGCTGTTGAAGGTGCAAAGAAAAAACAAGCGACAAACTACTAACTGCATTTTCATCAAGGCAATACTTTAGATTGTTCTTTGAACAATCATCCTCTCCACTAACCATCCGAAACACAATTCAAATGCCAAAATAAATATAAGCTACTTTATATTCAGATTTCATTGTAAAACATCTAAGTTCGCAACCAAAAAGGATTCTCTGTCACCAACCATATGTGTGTCTTAAAAGAGTTCAGAGTTTAAAACACTGGAAAATCTGGACAGCTGTTGATCTACAGAACAGACGGGTACAACTGGAATGCAAATTTTCCCAGAGCATTAGCCCCAAACTAGAGGATAAAGCTTCCTCTTGCACTAAAAGGTAGCCTAGTATCTTGTTCATCTCCAGGGAACTGACTGTGTCCACTGCCAAAAAGCCTTCTATTATGAGTAATGTCCATAACTTGCTGTTAGGAATGGAATGCAGGTTCACGAAAATAATTTTCCACTGAAAATAGTAAAGAATTCGAGGGCCTTTTTTTTTGCAGGCTTAAATGCACTTTAAGGGCATGCTGTTCACTTATATTAACAGCAAATTTTGCCCAAAACAACCTACCTTGACCTCAAACCTTTAGTAAAACCTGCAATTCCTTTAACGAGACAAAAAGAACTAATATTTACATGTTTCAGTTTTAATTTTCTAATAAGCACTTATGAGAAAAAATAAAAAGGGCTGAGGACCACAATTTCCTATAAAGCTCTCACCTATTGCCCTCTTGAGGAGCTCCAAGCCGTTCTGTACGGCCAGCTCAACGTTTGGCTTCCTACGAAGAATCTCTTCTTGAAGTTCCTAAAAGAAAATGTCACTTGAGTGAGTACAGAGATAATAAATCACATTATTTTTCTTGGAATTAATTATCGTGATTTCAAACGAAACGTATGAATCAAAAATTAATGAAATATGAATAAACACAACACAAAATTAAATTAAATAATAAATGAAATGAAATGAAAATACCAGTAGCTCAGAGTGCTGTCTGTCAAGCAGGTGTGTATTGTGATCTTGCACTGTCAGTTTGCTGAGTCTATCATTGACTTCATTCAGCCAGTTCATCAATTCTACTTCATCCTCCCCAAAAATCAGGGCGTTGGAGTAAGCTTGCTGCAGAAACTCAGACATGCTGTCACTCTTCCTTTGAATATCACTGTAACGGGCTTGGGAAGCATCTAGCTTTTCCTGCACCGTATCCTTATCTTCCCTGGAGCTCATAGCTTTTAGAGAGTGCCCAATGCTAATGGCCTGCTGCAAACTCTCATTGTGAGCTAGGATGTCATCTTCTAGGGCCTGGATTTTGGTAAGCCATGAAGAGCAATGGAAAAGAAAAGCAAAAAAACGTACATAAAGTGAAAGTAAACAACAACCAAAGGAAAAAAAAAGATGTACTGACATTTATAAATGCAGATATACAAAACTCAAAATATAGTATGGGGAAAAAAAAAGGAAAAGAAAATCATCAAGGTAAAAAAAAGGTACATGGTAGCATTTTGACCAGTTGCCTTGTGCTTTACAGACACGTTTAGAAAGAGCTGCCTAGGGGAGCCCATGGCCTGAGCCTTACCCGGTGCTGAGCAATCTGCTGCTGGAGCTTGGAGGTCTGCGTGCCGACGGGCTCGGCGTTGGCCAGCCGCTTCTCCGTGGCCGTCAGCCACTCGCTCAGCGGCTCCAGGGCTTCGTGGAACTGCTCTGCCACCACCGAGATGGCTTCCAGCTGATGCTTCCTGGAGACACAGCGAGATAAAGGGCTTCGGAGGTGGGAAACAGTCCCGAGGAAAACAACAACAACAACAACAGCAACAAGAGCAGCAGCAACTTGGAGGCTTTTCAAGCAGAAAGAGCTCTGGGTACAGGAATCACAAAATGACAAATAAGCAATTTCATTGTTTATCCAAGATAAACAATGAAAAAAAGGTAAAGTGACAACTAAATTAAGAAAAAACACCTCCAAAGTTAACAATCTGGAGCTTTTACAGGCAGTACGTAAGTTTTGTGAACATAAATTCGCAAAATGCTCCTTCTCTGGAGGCCTTCTCCTTCTCTGGACATCTTTCAAACCTGCTCGGACACAACCTTGCGCCCCGTGCTCTGGGTGTCCCTGTTGGAGCAGAGAGGTGAACTAGATGATCTCTAGAGGTCCCTTCCAACCTTAACCATTCTGTGATTCTGTAAATAATATAATGTTATTCACATTCTTTTGTTGAAAATAATTTAGCATTTAATGAAGCAAAACATGGGCTTATATCAGTTAGGAAAGAGCTCGAGTTTCTAGCTGTCTTTAGGCACACGAGCCCATCCCCTTGACTAATATCCATGTTTTAAAGTTAGGCAAAGGCTTCTCTGAACCAGAACACACCGTCACGCCTGCTCAGTGCTCTGAAAGAGCTTCTAACATGTGTTCAATGATGCAAGCAGACCTGGCTCTGCTTTTCTTCCCTTGTTCTGGGTAAGAGCTCTCAATGACATTAGTGAGACAACGTTAATAATGCACAGAGATTTGACCTCCAAAATGCAAAGGTGATACCCAAAACGTTCACTTTTCAGATTATTAGATTTTAGAGGTTCTTGATTAGAGAGAAGCTCTCTACAGCCACTCTTGAACACATTTCACCCAGTCAGGCTGCTTATATTTTCAAGAGAGACTTGCCCTATGTCAAAAACACCAGAATATTGTCCTGTGACTGGCTATCTCATTTGGGATAAAAGAACTAAATGTGCTTCCCAAGGCTTAGGAGCAAGGCTTGGCTAACACAGCCATGAAGCATTCAGTGAAGAACGACACAGTTTTCAAAAGCAGCCCCAGATCTTTTCTTCATGCCTAGAGTCTGGTCAAAGAAAAATGGAGCTGAGCTTGCAGCCAACAGGCGGCTTGGAAAAAGCTGTAACTTGATTTTAAATTAAACATCACCAGACTGGGAAAAATAATATTAAATTAAATACGGCATTATCACTTCCCAAGCTAATGAGTCAGATTCCATAAAAAATAAAATAAAAAAGTCTATTAGTGTTTGATTCTGCTAATTAAATAGCCACATTACCAGTAGCATGAATGAACAGAAGAAAGAAGCTACCTGAAGAAGATGCAAAAGTCAACAATTTCAGTGCTAGTCTGAATGCCCCAATCCCACTCCATTGGCTTGTACACAGTAACGTTTCCCTTAACTCTTTTTTTTCAGCCTTCACACTAATTTCTCATTCTCAGTTATAGGCTTTCTTTAGGCCATGCCTTACGTATATTTTTCTCCTTTCTCTTCTCAACAGTGCTGCCCTACTGCAAATCCTCACCCTGAGAACATTCACCTTCAGCAAAGCCCTTTCAACACTTTCTTCAAAGACAGATGCATGGTTCAGAGCTTTCCAATTATTTCACACATTAACAACTCCCCCAATACCCACATGTTTATATACACAGACACTGTGTGTGTAGCTTTGGGAACTTTTTTTTTCCACTGGAAGCTAAATTGGTCGCTTTAGGAGTCTGCCTTCTGTGATGCTAGGGTAGATTTAAGCACTTTGATGGCTCTGTCCCCTTAAGAACTTAGGTAGCTCAGCATCTTGCATGAGCAGATCAGCCAAAGCAAGTGTAAGACCAATGATTTCTGTAAACAAATTATATGGATGACTTTGAACAGAAAAAGAATCTATGAAATCCATGTTCCCTCTTTGCAGGGATATGTCATGATTTTAAAGTCCCAAGGGAACAGCATTATTATTTATCACGTGTTAAAGTCTATGCCAAACAGGTGCCTTGGTTCTTCCATCAAGACACAAATCTTTTACTGAACTAAGACAGACAAAAGTTCAAACGATACCGTGGAGTTAATCCTGGCAGAGTGTCACACCTTAACTCAACATTTTTTCTCTACACCTTTCCCCCAGAATACCTACTTTATGAACGCCAAGGTGAAATAATGTGATGTGACAACAAGAACGACATTTCTTACAAGACTTCCCATCATGGGGTTCCACACGCTGCTTCAGGCCTTGTATCACCTGCCTTTATTTCAAAGCACGGCATTTTTTAGAGGCATGAAAGAATTTCAGGTACCTTGTCTCAGCTTTGCTGAGCAGCGCGTCCCATCGGCTGTCCAGCAGGTCCAGTTGTTTCAGGATTTTCTCTTTGTCCGCAGGCTCTGCTGACTCTGCAATTTTCTCCCCCTCACGTTTGATGACCTCAACCGTGGCCTTGCGGTCGTCCAGCAGCCTCTGCAGGAGCTGGGGAGGAAGCAGTCGGCTCCAGGTTACCCACAAACACGGACACAGCCCAAGGGCAAAACCCAGCAGGGCACACACTGCTCGGATGCCTCATAGAGCAAGGAAACACCAGTGCTCATACTGTGAGCAAAGTAACAGTAATGGCAACCGAACAAGGGACCCAAACCAGGCAACCAAACACAAGAAAAACAGCCGAGATTGACCTAGCCCCATTTCCAAAATGACCTACTTGGTTTCTGTGGGGTGAAGGTGACTGTTACCTCTCAGAGGGAACATACAGGGGAGAAAGCTGCAGCTAACACCCATTGCAGGAGTCAGAATATTTTGTAAGAATATTATTGTTATAAAAAACTCATTGTTTCTTTTTAACTGTGTTTTTTCTCTTTTTTTTTCCTAATGGACCTTTATTGTTTCCTTCAGATCATGCTAGTAATTTTAACTGGAGCCCAGACTGCAGAGTGTCACAGTCCTGTGCTGCGTGTTCCCAGGAGATTTCTCCCAGTGCTGGATGTGCTCTACAAGACAGAGTGGGGAGCTGTTCTAAAGATCCCGGTGCCTCTGGACTGCAATGCAACGCACCTGAGTGCACTGTATGTCAGGACAAAGCCTGGGAATTCATTTGTGCAGACATGGGGCAACGGACAGCGAGGTTCTCAACACATTTCACTTACTTTCTGTTCTTGTATTTGGGCCTTGACCACTTTAAATTCAGCAGAGGGCGGCTTCTGATTAGCCACGAGGTCCTCGGTATCGATGAGCCAGCTGAGCAGGGACTCGAGGGCATCCTGGAATCTCCCACAGTGCAGGAGGGCTTCCTGCAGCTGCGCGGCCCGCTGGGCAACCTGGAGGAGAGCAGAGCACCTGGCTGAACTTACCTATGTCCACATCTCTGTGAAATAATTGGTAGGCCTGCCACTTGAATGCCTGGCAATTATCACCCTTATTTATTTTCATTTTCACAGCTACTTATTACAGCATTTAGCATTAATTCAGCATTAGTGTTTTGGGACTGTGGTTATCCAGTGAGAGAAGGTTGACTAGCAGGAAATTAGATGGCTCTAGTCTTCCATTACGAGTGAAATGTCTGTTTTGTCACAGCATTATGGTGTAGGCCAAGAAAATGTGTGTTTTAAATAGTTTCTGTTTTCCTTGTGAAAGACCGAGTGAGCAATCTGAAGTAGCAGCTATTAAGGAAAAATAATTCCCTCAGAGGGAAGAAGAGATAGGAAAAGAAAGGACAAATAGGTGCACCACAAATCTCTGATTTCTGCCCCATCTCCCATCTCCTGCAATATAGATCAGATGGAAGTGGGCACTATTGTGGCCTCCCACTGTTACCACTTTCAACAGGAGCCTCCCCTGGAAGAGAATTATTCACAACATGGAAAAACAGCTACAGTCAGTTGAAAGCAGTGGCACCTCCCAGTCTCTCAGGCACCATAAGGAGCTCTAAAGGAAATGTGCCACTAGTCACACAAGGCTGGGCTGCAGCCCTGCTTCAAGTGCTGCTCAGTATATGGTATGTATAGGCAGTATATACTCTGGGTGTACAAACACACTGTGCCAAGAAGCAATGGAGAGAAACTCTAGCCCTGCAGCAGCTGCCCAGGGAGGCTGTGGAGTCTCCTTCTCTGGAGATCTTCCCAATCCACCTGGATGCCGCCCCGTGCTCTGGGTGTCCCTGCTGGAGCAGGGGGGTTGGACTAGGGGAACTCCAGAGGTCCCTTCCAACCTCAACCATTTCGTGATGCTGGGAACTCCTTAAAAGCAGCTGACCACAAGCGACTGTTCCCTTTCCCACCTGTGTCTCCCAGCTCCAACCTCATTCACTGGGTTGTCAAACCTCTCTCCCTGCTCTGCTTAAGCAGAAGGGTACACATAGCCCGGAGGGAATCTTTCCTGAACAATAAAAGAAGGTCCTTCAGAAAGTTTGACAAAACCTTATAATACTTCTAGCACCTGGTGATAGAAATCTTATCCTTAAAATGACCCCCAAAAGTTATTGTGTAAAATAACAAAATTCATACCCTTACTATTTAATTTCCTGTATTTTGAAAGATGGCAGTTAATAATCAAAATGCAAAGCAAAACAAAAGCAGAATAGCACACAAAATAATAACCTTCTTATTGAGAGTCTTCCATCGGGTGTTAACATCTTCAAGGTCACCTTCGAGGTCCTCGATGTTGGTACTTTTAGCAGCACTTTGAATAAGGCCTTGCCCTAACCAATTTACCTCCTGTTGTTTCGCCTGCAGCGGCTCGATCTCTTCCTTCTGGAAGGCCTGCATTGGGGAGACCAAAACACATATGAAATACTGGACCTGCTAACAGAAAAGTACATGAGACACTGATGGTTACCTCATGCTGTGCAACATACAATGCTGGAAAGTGATGCCTAACAAGAAAGGGAACCAACGCTTTGTAAGCAGCTTCCAAAAAGATAGTAAGAAATGTAAGTAGAATGGGCTTAATAAACAGAATAAATGGGATACACCCCTGAAGGGAAATGATCTGTATTTCTAGGAGAAAAAGTAAAACTTGGAAGAAGCAGCATGGGCAGAGATATTTCAGAGCAGGTCTTAGGGAAATGGAAATGGTGCAAAGGGAGGAGAGGCTGCGGATGCTGCCGTTGTAGTGTCACAGCGGACACCCAGGAGAAGGGATATTCACTCTATCCAAGGGATATTCCTGCAAAATGCCAGAGCTCTGACCGTACCCAACAAGAGTTTGAGCAGTCTTCTGTTTGCTTTGTTACACTCTTTCAGGTCTGAAAGCTTCTCAGAGACAAATTATTACCAATAGCAACAGCGATTGTAAATCCACGCTTGTTTTCAATCGAATTAGCCTGAACTGACACCAGTGTCAATGAGATCAGAAAATGGCTCGAAGCCTCTGAATTAATTACCCAGACTGGGGAAAATAACCGATGAATAAACAATGCTGAAGAACGCTCCACTTTTAACCCTAAAGCCCTCCCTGCTCGCAGTGACATTCACTCACAGTTCTCGTGTACATTTAGTGTGCTCAAAGCTTCTTGAGCACCTTGAAAGGCAGGAAAAGCTTCAAACATACCCCAAACCCTCCTCTTTTTCTTTTCTTTTTGGGAGCGAACACAGCACGGCAAGTGGTGGCTTTGGAAGAGGCAGAGCTCAGGCGGCCCGGGCGCCTGACAAGCCCGCCTAGAGGCTGGAGCAAACGCCCAACACGTGGTGGAGAGCGGACTGGAACACCCCAGAGAGCCTTGAACAAGGAAACTGGAAACTGAGAGCGTGGCTACACCAAAACAGAGAGTGCAACCAGCTGCTGCGCACAGAAAAGGGAAAACGCCCGCATTTGTCTTCACTTCAGGGTAGGGAGGAGGCTGAACAATCTTCTAAGAGAGAACCAGTAACAAATTCTTCTCCTCTATCCCATAAAACCTTGACTTTGGAAAGCAATGTCCTACCACAGGCAGCCCTGATTTCCATAATGTGCCCTTTTTAAACACATGCATTCTTTGCAAAGAGGAGCCTAAAATAAATTACAGTTATCGCTGAGGCTGAAGTTTACTAGAACAACTTAGCAACAAAGCCTGAAACAGCTCAGATTTCACCCGGGGCGGGACGAGAGAAAATGACAGACCTGACAAACACCCCTTCCTTATTACAAGGCTCCACATTTTACATTGTGACCCCAAGCACCACTCAGAAAACACTGCGAGCTCCGGCGCTTGTAAAACACCCCGTGTAACAACTTCAGCCCTGCTTTCGGGCATGCACATGGCAGGGTGGCTTCCAGCACCCACGCGAGCCTTTCACCTGGGTGCTCTGCAGCCCCCCACCAGCCGATACCGGGGCTCATGCCCTGGTGAGGGAGCCTGCTCGGCCTCAGCAAAGGGCGCCTGGACAGCCAGCCCGGCCACAGACTGCCCCTCGTTCCTTTCCCAACGTGGCCACCTCGCCTGCTTTGGACCTCTGGGATGTCCAAAGGCAAACGACACTGATGACCACGTCTGCCCACTGGAGGAAATACAACGTTTTTTGCACATTAACACAACTGTCAAGTTAAGGAAAACTTTAAAAAAGTTCGTTTAAGTCTGCTTTACAACATTTCACACATCTCCAGATATTTTTTTCTTTTTTTTTTCCTCTCTTTTTCATTACCTTGTTAGACAACAGGCCATTGCAGACAATACCCAAGGTTTCTATCTGGATGCCCCTTGTCCAGATGTTGCCTTTAGTTCTCCCTAGGAGAACTAGGGAGAAACTAGGGAACTTTTGGACACCTAGCAGTCCTACCTACTTCAAGCTACCGAGCAGAAAATACCTTTTCATTGGAGTCAGCAGGGGCCATACCCACTTCCTCTAGGTCAGTGCAAACGTCGCCTTTCGACAGGTCCGTGTCGCTAATATTTACAGCCACGTTCATGTAATAGAAGTAGGTGCGCTGAGGTGCGAGACCCACCAAATCCTCCTCCGTTTCCGTGGCTCGCGATTCAAGTTGTTCATCACCCTCATACAAACTTCCCCCTTCCACGTGGTGGAAGGAGCCATTAGGCCCGTCATTCCCCAGGGGCTCCCCATGTGTATCCCTGTCAGGGCTCCGCAAGCAAGAGCCATTCTGCTCTTCCTCTGCCCACCGGCTCTGGCCTCGCAGGGTGACACCGTCCTCGTTGTCCTCGTGTCCCGTGTCCAGGGAGAGGCCCCGCGCCGCCGTGGGGCTGCAGCTCTCGCGGGCGGCGTCGCTGCTGCCTGCAGGCGACGGGCTCCGCTCAGCTCCGCGCGGGGCCGGCTGGAAAAGCGGGAAGGGCCCCGCCGCCCGCACATCTTCCTCCGAGGACAAGCTGGTGGCCGGCGCCTGTTCCTCGGCTAGGACGATGCCGTGCCTTTCCTCCCTGTCGGTGTGAGGGCTGCACAAACCGGAATCGTCGTTTTCGGAGGAGAGGGAGCTGGTCCCCCACGTGCCGGTCAATAGGACGTCGTGCGTCTCCGCAGATGGGAACTCGCCCCTAGGGGCGTAATCGGAGGGGCCGGGCGGCGCGAACTCCCTCCGCGGCCGCCGGCGCTCCTTCTTTTTGGCGGGAGGCTTCCCCTTGGGCAACGCGGCGGTGCGGATGATGTCGCAGTTGAGCTTCAGCGAGTCAAAGATGGCCCTCTCGTCCAGCCGGCACGGCTCCCTGCCTCGGTGCTCCAGGAGCAGGGAGCTGCCGTGGGCGCCGTTGGAGCGGCACGTGCTGCGCTCCAGCGTCCTGTGGCCGTAGGACAGCGATCGGTCGCTGAACTTGCGCGAGGACAGGCTGCTCTTGGACATGGTGTCGATCTGCTCGTTCAGCGTCACCGAGTCGTAAAGGGACCTCTGGGGAACGTAGCAGTCTTCGATATTCAGGTCCTCGTCCTGGTGCCTTTGGCCCAAGCACGAGGGGTCCCGCAGGCAGTCTGGCCGGCTAAGCGGCTTCCCCATCCTGGGGGTGCCCACGGAGTCACGCTCCGCTCGGCGCTACGGGCATCGCTCACCGGGAGGCACTGCCGGGCATCCGCAGCGTGCCGAGGAACGGGAGCAGACCTTTGGAGCAGGGATCGCCGACACGGGATACACACACATCACAGCGTGCAGCACCGTGCGGCGGCATCGCCAGGGCACGCAGCTTTACCTGGATGCGAGTTTGGGGCCGTTCTTTTCTCTTTCTAAAATATAAAGTGCTTCAGTAAGAAAGGAACAGAAATCCTCCAATGTCACAGAAACGAAGTACAGCAAACCCCAACAGCGGCTCAAAAACCCCTCCGGGGAACGTCCTGTTTCTTCTTGCAGGTCACACTTTGTATCTCGGCTCTCCAGATTAAGCCTCCGGTATGAACGGCCATTACAGAAGGCAGCACATTATCTTCCGTAGGTGACAGATTAACTGTAATCCACTTAAACAGTTTGCAGAATCCCATCTCCTTTATAAATAAAACATAGTGCAGAAGCTTAAAAAAACAAGAGTCCACAGAGGGTCTGAACTGTGCATAGTTCACACCAAGGCACAGAGAAAATGTGGGGGGGAAAATAAGTTAAATCCAAAACAGCAAGAATAACAAAACAGTCCTTTACTTTTTTGGCAGTAGCTATAAATAACCTCGATCTGAAAAAGGCCGTTTAGTCTCCTCCGGTACCAAGCTTTTCCGTGCAGCATTCACAAGTTCCAGAGGAAAACCCGATTCTCCAGCAGCTGCGGTATCCCTTGAGCGAGGGGAAGACCAAGTTCCGTCAGGCTGCGCTCCGGAGCCGCACGGAGCCGAGCGGCTGCCCCACAGCGCAGGAGGCCGGCAGCGTTTCCCACTGGAGCGGAGCGGCTCCCACCCGGAGCCCCGGGCAGCAGCCCACGGCCACGGCCGCCGCACACCGACGTGCCGCTGAACGGAGGGAGGCAGGAGGAGGCCGGCGGGGCAGCAGCGCTGGCGCGTGCCATGCGGCGCGGCCGGCAGCCTTTCCAGCACTGCCGGCTGCTCCCGAGCCGATGGGCGTCCTCCCGCTGCTTGAAGAAACGCCCTTTTTCTCATTCTTGAGGCACCATCTGCGGCTGCCCCGCGCGCTCGCGGCTCGGCCCGCGGGCTGGAGGAGCCCCGGCCTCTTGGCGCTCGCCCTGCCTCTGCTCGCTGCCCTCCTGTCGCCGCTCGGTCACCTCCTCACGTCGGGCACCCGTGCTGGGCAGGAGGGGCGGCGGCGGAGCCGCCATCACGCGCGGCCAGCGGCGCCCGTGGCGGCCCTGCTGAGGGAACGCGGCCCCCCTGAGGGAACACAGTGGCCCCACTGAGGGAATGCGGCCCCCCTGAGGGAACGTGAGGGCCCTGCTGAGGAAACGCGGCCCCGCTGAGGGAATGCGGCCCCCGGAGCCGCCGCTCCGCTCGCTCGGAGGAGCTGAGGGGCAGCCGGGGCTGGCGGCCATCCCGCCTGGAAGCACGCGCCGCTCCAGGCTCCGCACTCCGCCGTGCCGCCCCGTAAAGGCATCCAGGGGAACAGGTGCAACCAGCAAGCTGAAACTTTCTCTGTGTGGGTTGCTGGTAGGACGTTTCCCCCCTTTTGCCTTGAACGATCTGTTTCAGCTCTTTCAGTCCAGTACTTTGATTGGAAGTGCACGGGGATGTGCTGGGTTTGCGTTTCGCCTCCCTCCAGCTGCCCGGGGGCTGTCAGACAACACAACAGCTTCAGCAGCAGTGTCTGCCCCTGCACGAGGAGCCCTGCAGAGCCAGGCACCCCCTGCCCCCTTACCACAGGAACAGAGCGGGATGCATGAAAGAAAAGGGCACCTAGCCATTTGGATGCTGTTTTTTCAAGGAATTTGACTGGCCAAAACAGCACGAAGAATCAAGTTGTGAATTTTTAGATGCCCCTCAGCATTTTGCGCCCTGCCTCTTGCTAATGATGGCGCAAGGGCAAGCTGGAGACCCGCCGGTAAATGCGCAGCGTTTGCAGGGGTGGCCGTGACCAAGCTGCCACCTCGCCGGCATCAATCTTGACAGCGCTCTCGAGCAGAGCCCTTGTGCCGCGGGCGACGGGAGCTACCAGCGTAGTGACAGCCCAGACCCCAGTTTAAGGTCAGCATATGGCACTCAGTGTTAAAACTTAACACGGGGTATTAAGTGCAATCAGCTGAAGGTTTCCGAGCTAAGCAGGATACACTTTACTCAAGAAAGTGTATCCTGAGTACAGTACCTTCTGCTTACTCATTTATTTGATATCCAGTCAGCCCTTTTTAAAATATCGATGTGATGTGAGACAAACTCTCTCTTTCTGCACTCACATATTTTTTTCCTGCTGCAGTGGGTATAATTATTACTTGAAATAAGGAGTGCATAAGATTACAACCATTATGCATTAAAATTAGGCCAAAGACATAGTCACTTCTCGTTTCTCTAATTGAGAAAATGGACTATATAATTGAACATATAGACTGTAATTAAGACTGTAGACTATAATGGCAAAGATGCGTAAGACATTTTTTGAGGTCTGGTCATCTTTGCACCCAAAACAACCACAAGCAGATCCTCACTAGATTCAAAGGCTGCTCTAACCTTTTATAAGGCCAGTATATAATTGAAATTGGTCCATATTTTGCTTTTTCAATAGTAAAATGATTTGAGTAACATCATAAAAATGTTTTATCATTTTTCCTCAATCCCCTGAAGGCTTCTTTATGACACTGTCACTTTCTGGAGCAATTCTTTTAAGAAAAAAAATAAAACAAATCCTTTTTCTACTTTTGCTTTTTACTACAGATCCTAATGGTATTAAATCCCGTGGAAGGTCAACATCTTATTAAACAGTGTTTGTAAGTCAGCGCGTGGAAAATCCCACCCTTTTTGTTTCTTCCTTAAGCTAAAGAGAGAACTCGAATTACGGTTTCATAGCCACCTTCCGAGCGCAAACCAGAGCACACCTTCTCCACACCAGACCCTGGGCAATTAAAATCCTAGGATGAAGCCCAGTGGCAGGAACAGCCAGGCTAGCACAGAACTCCTGCAAGGCCCTGTGAGAAGGCAGCCTCCCTAGGAGCGAGATCTAGTGCCCCAAAAACAAAAGCCAAAACGCAGTGAACCAGGCGCCGACGAAAGCTACAACACTTCAGTGGGTCTTTTTGTTAAGAAGAAAAGAACGCCTTTTAATGACATTATAAAGAATTACACAAAGGTTTCAAGAAATAAAGTAATTCAGCTGCTGGCGTTTGATTTCTGCCTTTCAAGGAGGGCGTAGCTGCTTCTCCAGCTGCAAACACCCTAGCACTGTGTGGCTATCCAGACGGGGCGCTTGGGTTCCGTCTCTTTTGCAGGATTCCTTCTTGCTTTGCTTTTGAAGAAAAGCAGCAGAATGAGTTTAACTAGGCAGAGCTAATTTATTGAAGCTTCCTGCACTGCATACAGGCTTTGGGGGCAAATGAAATCTAACAAACAGGAATTCATCAAGAGAGCGAGTTCTGGGCATTTGGTATTTATTGAGCTAAATTCTTCCTCGGTTTATACTCTGCTGGGTGTGCTCTGTGAAGTGACAGTCATGGTCCTGCTTTCAGAGGAACTCCACAAGAGATCTTCATTTACAGAAGACAAATTTTATATTTGCATTGTAAATAGATACAGTTTAATAGTGCGGATAAGTACTTTCAATTTAACGCTCTGCAATGGCTGGAATAAGGGGATTACCAAGAACAAATACAAAGAAAACAACTATGTGAATATAAATAAAATATATAACTCAGAGCTTTTTTTTAATACTCCATTTTAGTGTCAGGAGCCAAGAAGACTCACAAAGTTCTACTCTTTGTGCACAGAAATTGGTCAAACCACAAAACCCACAAAAAGCCTATTACCCAAGACTCTTCCCTGAAGAAAGTGCAGATGCTTTGTGAGCAAATCCGGCTACCAAAGCAGCACCACTCTGCTGTGCTCCTGGGGAAGAGAAGTTGCCTGTACCTGACCGCAGCAGCGAGGGGAACGAGGAGCAGGACTGCGGCTTTGCGGCCACCAGCCTTGTGTGTGTGACGGCGCGTGCGAGCTGGGCCAGTTCAGCAAGGACTGGCTGGCCCTGCTGAGGAAGGAACCTCCTCTTGGCAAGGCTGAGGAGCCCCAGAAGGCTGGAGCGCTCCCGCAAGCCCCACAGCAAGTGCTGCTGCTCCTGCTCTCTCCTGCTGCAACGTCCTCCCTGCACAGCAGCAATGATCCCAGCAAGAGCTCCTGTTATCTTCATGTTTCCAGACTATTTTACTGACCATACACAAAGGCAAGCCATTTGTTTCTATTTCAAATGGAGACAGACTTGTTAGGCTAGCCTGGTATGCAATTTCAGGCCTCGCAGCCTAGCAGCAGCTCTTCACCATGTAACTATTTGTTCAAGATCCTGTCTCTATTTATGCATTCTGAGAGAGCAGCGCAGCTGACAGCAAACCCAAACTCTCAGAAGAAAGTTTGGGCGTTTAGTTTTCGTTTCCAACATGGTTTAGTCTTCGCTTCCAACATGGTTTAGTCTAGACAAGCAAGATGCACCCTCTGTTGGGCCTAAGACGCAATTACCTCCTTCCAGCAACAGGCCTCACGCAGTCAGCAGGTAGCAAAACCTTTCCAGCCAGTGTGAGGTTGAAACAAAAGGACCAACACAGAACAGCCTTGCTGCTGCACCAATATTTATCATCCTTTTCACATCCCGCTTACACCTGGGTGCTCCACGTTCCTTCAAGTGAGCACTGGAACTTCTTTGACCAAAACCGAAATATCTGCAGTTCATTTCAACACCAAGCACAACATAAACACAGTATATACAATTTACACTGAGTATTACTGCAGTGTATTTTTCTGAATGCGGCTAACTGGCTTACAGAAAGCAATGCAGGGAAGCTACAAAGTGCTTTTGGGGTAAGGATACCACAAGAAACTCCCTCTGCATAAAGATGGATATTTTATCTGAATTGCTTATGCTAGTACATTTCTAGCTAAGGCTGGGATTCAACTGAGGTGAAGCTGCTCAGTGTGTTAGAACAGAAATCAGAGAAAGGTAGGGTTCCTAAACCTACAAACCCTGATGCCTGGGGCACAAATGGTATGTGAATATTGGAGTCTAAAAGTCAAAGAACAGCCAGACCTCTGAGTAGAGGCAAGAGGGTTCTCCAAATGCCATAAGGTGGATGAATGGTACAAGGAAACAAGATGATGAAAGAGGGAAGAACAGCTTAGGAGTTCTGGTCTGGATGTGAAGAAAGGAAAGTCTATGAAGCTCAAGCAAGAGAAAGTCTGGAGCAAGATATTCCAGTTAAGAAAATAAAAAGTAGCTAAAAGGCCTACAAATATGACTGACTGCTGTGGAACAGGACTTCTCCACTGTTTGCATTTAACCAACCCTTTTCACAATGATTTCTTTTTTTACATTGCATTAAAATATCTTACAGTACTAAGAGAAAAATCTTCCTACCGTGAATGTCTTCAGCTGCTGGTTGATAGTTTCTGTCTCCATTCCTACAGGGCCTTGCGACTCTTCGTGCTCTTCAGCTCTCCCAAGGAGGCTGGAAAACTCTCTCAGCTTCACGTAGAACTCCTCAACACGGCTCATGGTCCCCTCCACTTGATCTTCCCGGGCTTTTGCTCTGTCGAGTAATTTCTTGCACTGTTTATTTAAAGCATCCAAATCTCTTTTTATGCCAAGGAGGTCAGGAGAAGCTTCAGCTTCCGTGGCGAGCATCATTTTGCATTTTTTGTTAGCGTTTTCGTTATTCGTTATAAGGTCTTCCAGCTTTTTCAGGAAATGTTTTATGTCCTCTCTCTGTGAGTGCAGGACTTGAAGGTTCCTCCCCACTGGAGCCATGTTGTCAAGCTCATCATCAAACTCCGCAAACTGGGAGAACATTTCCCGGATGCTGTTTTGGAAATGGCCGATTCCCTGAAGTTTGGTCTCCAAGAACGAGCACCTCTCCTCAACCTGCTGGTTCACTGCACTGTATTCCTGCTCCAAGGACTCAGCTTGGAGCAAAAGGTCAGAAACACCTGCTGAATCAGAGGCTTCTACCACCAGGTCCTGGGCCAGCTTTTTTGCTAAATCCATGTGAGGCTTTAAGGCCTGCAGGGCTTTTTGCTGGGTCTGCATCACTGTCAGGTGTTTGTTACTGAAAGCCTGAGGCCCAAGCGCATCGTGAGCTTCCAGGTGCTCCCTGGCACTTTTAAGCTGCTTTGCAGCTTCCCTGCACGATTCCTGAAACTCCTTCAGCCTTTGGGCCACGTTTTCCAAGCCCTCTCTCTTCTTATGCAGCTGTTCTGTGACCGTGTTCACTTTCTGATTAAGCGCCTTCGTCTCCTCCTCAACAACTTCTTTATCCGTTTGCGTGGCGCTGAGCAGACTCTGCGCAGTGCTGTTCAAGAGCTCCACCATGCCATGGTGCTTATCCAGCTCCTTCTGCCAGGCCTTCACCTGCCCAAGGGAATTATCTATTTCCTCAGGGCTTATGCCAATCTTTACCTCACACAGATTGCTTTCACACCTCTCTAGCCACGGCTGCAGGCTTTCGACGTGCTGCTTGTATTGGAGGGCTTTCTCCAGGCAATCTGTTAGTTTATCTTGCCTTTCTTTTACCTGCTTATTCATTTCATCCCAGTTGCTTTTGAGTGTGGTGATCTGGGTCAGCAGTGCTGCCTTGTCCGCTCCTTGAGTCTTCTGCAAGATACTTTCCCCTTCCACAAGGATTTTTTCGTAGGAACTAGTCTGATCAGACAGGGTCTTCTTAAAATCTTGCTGTTCCTCAATTAATGCCTGCAAGGCATCAAGTCTGGCTGATACGGGGCGAGCCTGCTTGAGCTCCTCTTTCTTTTTGTCCAGCCACGTCTGGAAGTCTTCGGACATCTGCTGGAACTGGTGAGAAGTGGTGTATGCTGACTGAAGCTGCTGAACATGGTTTTCTAGAAAGCAAAAGACAGCACAGAGGTTCATTAGCAGGATCAGCCAACACTCACCGAAAAGAACAATCTCATTCTGATTTTATTAGGAATGATCATTAATTGGAGGAGAGCTGGTCCTTAGCCTGTGGAGAACAAAGTCTCTCGCATGGGGCAGTCACCCTCGTGCCTGGAACACAGCACAACAGTGGAGGCATTTGGATGGGAATTGAATTCAGGGAGCTTGGCCAGCCCGTGTCTGAATGAGATTCATGCAGTTCTGGGGTGAAAAGCACACAGTTGTGGCATGATATCATGAAGGGTAAGCCCAGGAAACATTAAGTAATCTAACACAGTCACGTCCGACCCGTGGCCTGCAGGCAGTGTGTTTTCAGAGAGATCTTTTGATGTTCCTCCTGACCAGAGGAAATTAAAAAGCTTAAAAATGAGGCTGTTAGGGAGAACAAAATATGGGCATGACCTGCATTGCATTACTCTATCAATTCTGTTACGAAGAGCATAAGGAAAGACCACAGTATTGAGAGTGTAAGGAAAGATCTGTTTCTATCACAGGCAGTTTTATACAATTAATTACCACTGCTTGCTGAGTCCCTTACAAGCCCTTGGCTGAAACAGGACCATTTTGACTTACATTCTGCACCTAAGCACATTTTGGCCGTTCGCTGCACAGCCTCCCATCCTGGTATCCTCATTAAGTGAGGCTGTATCTGAAGGCAAACAGGAGAGGACTAGGACTGCTACCATGTTTAGTTCCTCCCAGGCTTCTCACTAGAAAGCTTAAGTTGGTTTTGCCTGTTTAAGGCAGAGGGAGTCACTAAGTCCTAACATACAACTGCTGGGACAGACTACACAGAATCCACAGACAGGGTGGGTGTTCAGCTTGGCTCACGCAGCATTTCACTGCTGAGTGTGATAAGAGATGTAATCATGTTGCTACCTTAATTGTTATTCTCTTGAAATAAATACTAACCGGATTTTTGCTCAATATCCTTAAATGATTTTATGATGCCATCTAGCTGCCTTGTCAGTTCTGCCTTCAGATACTCTTCTCCAACCAGTGCTGACAGCTCTTCACAAAGAGCTTGAGCCGCGTTGATGGTCTCCCTTTCCTGCTCGATCTCCTCCTTCATTTCCCTGGCGACCCCCAGCTGCTGTTTCACAGCATCAGGCCGTGTGCTCACAGCCAGGCTGCTGCTCAGTTTGCTGTCCAAGGCACTTAGCTTCGCAGACAGGCTTCGCAGCAGGCTTTGGTACTCGGTGCTCTTCTCAATGGCTTGGCCAATTCGCTCACATCTGCTGCTCAGCTGGCCCGTGAGGCTGTCCCATTTTTGGGCCACAGCTGCCAGTTGCTCTTTCACGATTTCATGAGAGGGGGGATGCTCCCCGGGCCTCCTCAGAATCCCTTCGCCAGCCGTCGTCAACTGTTCATATTGTGGCTTTCTGGTGTCAAACTCTTTCAGCAGAATCTGGGAAGAAAGCAGATGTTTAAAAGCATTGACCTTGCAAAATAAGAAGCCAAATGCCTCTGACAAGAGTTACGTGGAATATGTTGTAGCTGTGCTCCATTAACTGAGAAATTAACTTCTGAGTTGCTAAAGCTAGTCAGTTAATTTCCACGTGTACATGTAAATGGAGCATTGTTTCAAAGTGTTCGCATGAAACAAACAGAAAACAAATAATTTACATCCCACCTAACAGAAACTCAATCAGCAGATGCAAGTGAACAATGGACTCTGTTAATATTACAGTAATTAAGTAACTGTAACCAGTAAAGTAATCCCTGCTTCGGTTCAAGCGGGGTCTTCCTTCCTAGACAGTTTTGAAACGTGCCTTAAGACACAACTCCAAAGAAGGTCGATGGTGACATAACATGGCAAAGTCACACGCAATAGCTGGTAATTTTGGTAGCTCAGAAAATGGCTGGATCTCTAGTGCAAGATCTGTTGAGGTTTAAATTAGTGGCTCTCAGTATTTTTTTTTTTTTTTTGAGAATAAGTCCTGATGCTTTCAGAAGAAGGGACAAATATAATGGTTTTAAATTATTCTCACATAGTATTAGAATACAGTTCAATTTTTAAAATCGTGCTTTTCATCAATATGAATACAGCAGCTTAATAATATTTTTGCTGGATAAGAATGTAATTTCTCTTCACAGTGTAAATTCACTGGCAGCAACAAGAAATGTTTGAAATTAACAATCTTAGTTTCTGCTGTTTAACCTGATCTAGTATTTTTAGTTGTTTAATTTCCTATGAGTTTGCGGCTTATAGAGTTCTCTATAAGCAAGTTCTCTGCTTTTTCCCCTATACTTTTCTTCTATTTTTTCACACTCTTGGCCACATACCTATTCACAGTACTTGCATTTCCCTTACTTTCGTATTTTTATTAGCTAATAGCACATTCAAGTGAATAAAATCTTAAAAAGCAAGTCCTACAGCATCGACTCACTCTGTATGAGGACCGATCATAAAATCTTCCATACACACTCCAATTAATAAAACTTCAAAGGACTGTTTTCATTAGACTACAGAGAAACCACAGCATGGTCAAAACACCAAAATGTATCTGAGGATCAGTATCTCCCCAAGGAATAAGTCCTGATTTTTTTTTTTCCTTGAATTCTTTTGATCTCCCTTCACTCTCATCATTTTTTTTTTCTTGTAATTACAGTAGTCAAGCACGACTTAAGCTGATATTTACTGATAAACAAACATAATAGCTCCTCAGGACTGGGCTGTAAGCTAAGCACTTTGCTAATAGTAAAGAAAGCCCAAAACTCCACCAGCAGAGCAGGCTGGCAATCCCTTACTCACCTGGACCTGCTGCTTTTGGGTATTCAGCATATTCGGATCAATGGAGAGTGGTCCCAGCACGCTGACCATTAGCTCCTTTTCCACAAGCCAGTGCTTCAGCTGGGCTTCTGCCGCCTGGAACTGGGTCAGGTAATTGGAGGACTCCTCCAGTTTTTGTTGTCTCTCAGATGTGACTTGGTTGAGCTCTCTCCATTTGGAATCTGGCAAGGATAATGTTAGCGTGTGGCACGCGTGTTCCGGCCCGCGTGCAGGGAAGGGCATGGAGCTCTCCAAGGAGGCTTCCCACTGACGAGCTCCACGTGCCTCCTTGCAGGGACAAGGCAAACACACTTACAGCTTTGTACAGTCAGACAAGCAGGTACTTGGAAAAAATTCCCAACTTTAATATAGCCATATGTGGAATTTGGGGAACAACTAATATGCAACATGTAATCAATCACATTAGGGCAGAATATGACTAAATGAAATACCCTCCCACTTGGACTGGGATCCCGAATGACATAAAAGCCAAAGTGCTGCACTCACACCTTAGGCCTAGTCTGAGCCAGGTAGACTGGCTTTCCTGCTTCATCAGTGCCAGGGAACAGATTCCTTTCCAAGGGCAGCTCTAAGCCCTTGTTTAGGCTTCTGCTCAGAAGTGCCCTTTGCAGGAGCACTTCTTTTCTTGTCGGTATTAGGTGTTAATCTGTGATGATTAACTTCCAAATTTAGACATCTGAACCAAGTACCTAATGACAGTGGCCAGTGAACCCAGCGTCTCTGCCTGTGCCAGGAGCATCCAGGGCACCCACTGACCCACGGCCTCTCCTTCCCTCTTTCAGTGCCTGTTCACACCGTTCTGCTGTTTTGCCAGCTCTCCCTCTTCCATGAATTCCAGCTGTTTCTTTTCTCCCCCCTACTTTCTTTGCCACTTCGCTGTGTCTTTAACCTCTGCTCATTCTGCACTCATTTCCTTGCAGTTGGAAGTTTCAGTATCACTTCTCTTTAAGCTTTTCAGAGTATGTTCATAAAGAGGGTAGATTAGAAACCTTATCAATGTAGAATATTGCTGGTGCAGCAATAGAAATACTAATTGGGACAATCAGTCCTCCATAATATGATTTATTTTAAACTATGACAAACCTAAGAAGTATTTTTTAAACAAATTACGTGCTGCAGTATCTCCAAATCTATTGTCCAAACATGGTCATTTCCATTTTTTTGGCAAAATTTATGAAGTCAGTTTTAGAAAATGGCAAAAAGCCACTAAACCCCACAAAATGACAAAAGCCACAAGGCACATTGAAAGAAAAAAAACATGCAGAAAAGCATTAACAACAACTCAAAATGTTCCTTATGTCAAACTAGAATTGACTTAACTTGCTTTCATCTTATGTTGTAAGAAGAACGAGCGTATCTATCTGGAACAATAACTGACCTCTCCAGTTATAGCCACATGTTGTTTGAAAAACATAAATTACAAAGCCCTCTAGAGCAGGGAGTCAAGCTGTAGCCTCTCTCGATTGCATTGATATAAATCCAAAGTGGATGGACTTCAGTGGAAGCTCTCCAGCTCTGCGCTTTTGCAAAGGGAGTTATTTTGCACGGGATTTATGAGGGAGGAGTGAGCAAGACATTAAAAATGTGACTGATTACATGTTAAAAAAACTTAACATAAATCCATTTTCAAATCAGTCTGGGTTATAATGAAGCTGTACAGAAGTACCTATTTTATCCAGCGTTTGTCTCCATTTAGGTGCCTCAGGAGAGTTGGGGTTCTTCTCCAGCAGCTCTGTCACTTTGTCCTTTAGCTCCTGCACTTTATTCTCGCTTTGCTTTAATTCAGTTTCAAACAGCTATAAAGTGAAATGATAAAATTCATATGTAAGAAACTGCAGAAAAAATGTAAAGCCTTTAAAAGTATGTAATGCTGAGACACCAAGCACAAAATAAACAATAAATACATTTATATAAAATATTTATATACTGCTTTTCTGTTATGGTTTCCAAAACCCTCTATAATGTCAGGTCATGCATATACTGGATAGTCTTATATTTTTGGGGAAAAAAAGTGAACAAAACTGAACAAGACAGAGTTTTTTTGATTTAGTATTTCTATAAAAGGCACAAGAGCATCAAAGGGATGAGTCTTGCCTGAGAAGTCACTCACATTGGTGACAGACAACTGCCTGCAAATACACTCTCGTTACTACATCTGAGGTAGGATGGTCTGGTTAGCTTAGAATATTCTGTTAAAAATTATGCAGCAATGTTCTTTCCATGTTTAGTTGGAGTTTTAGAAGTGAACATTTATCCACATCTGAGGAAAGTCAAACTTAAGGAAAGTCAATAGCTTCACAGGTTATTTCTTGAATGCTGACCAGCCAAGTCTGAACAAAGTGCATCACTTGGATCAAACTCTGTCCTTATTTATCAACTTTCACAGGCAAGGAAAGAATTTTCCATTTCAAGAGCCATCCATTACATATCCCTTTAAAGATCAACCTTTACACATATAAATATTGTCCTCGTTGCTAAAGAAGCATACATTTCCAATGCTGCAAAAGGGTAGGAGCTAACTGCTGATTCAGTGGATTCCTTGCAGCAATTAAAAGGAGGGAAGGAGACTGTTGTGCAGCTATATAACTTAACAAGCACGACATGGCTGCTAGAGAGCAACGCTGCCTTGGAACAGGCCTGAGCGCCCGCAGCTGCGGTGTCCGGGAGGTCTGCAGAGCGTCAGCGAACCAGCAGCTGCAGAAACTGCCTTCTAGCAGATAAAGCCCTCCAAAATCTTACAAGCTGTCTAGTAAATAACTCAAAACCATTAAGGGTACCAGAGGAGTATAATGTATCATCCATGTGCCCTCATCTATTTAAACTGGCCACCAAAATGACTGAGTTTTGGCATAGAGAGCTTGCCAGATCTGCCGTGTGCTTGGCTGGCACATCTACCAGGGTTATTAAAACACTCTGTGCAAGATCATGCTGAGACGTCAGTTCGTGAGACAGAATTCCAGCAGTAACTGCAATGGGGAGGACAGGATGATTTTCTGAAGACCCAAAGTACCTTGTGTTGCTCAACTTGGGCCTTAACAGCCTCACTGTCAGTTGGAGCAGCTTCCCAGTCGGATGCGGTTTTGTCCATCTTCTGTAACCACTGCATCATTGAAGTTGATTCTTCCTGAATATTTTGCATTTTTGTAAGCATGCTCTCTAGTTCTGAAATCTTTTCCTTCAGTAAAACTCCCAAATCTTCATAACTGTGATTTACATCAGACATGGCTTGTTGAACAGCTGACAGCTCTGTGAAAGGAAAGATCAGACAGACTGTGTAAGAAATGACACAGCTTCAATATACTTAAAACTTCAGGAACTTCTAAACAATACTTTGAGTATCTATATAGTAACGTAACTTGAAAAACTGTTTTAATTCCCTCAAGTCCCCTATATTAGAAACTTTTGTGACCATTGTAAAGGTGTTAAATTCTTGACAGAACTTTGCATTCAAAGTGTGTACACCAGGTAGACTGTAATTTAGGAGAATGAACAGTGCAGACCCAAGAGACAGTACATGGTTATCCACACTCACATACAAAGTGCCTGTATAGGTTCCTTTGTTTCCAAAGAGCAACTGGTCACATAAAGTAATGCAAATGTATGTAAAGCTGGTGTCTTTGCATAAGCGCGCGTGCATGTGTGTGCCTGTGTATGCATTTGGGCATGTGGGTGGGTGCTAAAAGGCTTCAAACCACATATATAGCAATTTGAATTTTCTCACAGGCCATATCTTACATTAAAACAGCTACCCCTGTATTTATAGAAATACTGAAAACAGAGTCAGATTTGATCTGTCTTCACAAGTAATACTGATGATAGGTGTTTGTACACAGAGTTTTAGCATCATCTTACTAGTCAGCATTTCTTAAGCTTTCCTGTTTCTTATGGTTCTTATTTCCTATCTTACGTTTTTTAGTTCTTATGTGAAGGTGATACGAAATTTCACAGTTGTCTAGAGACTCTTACTATCAATATATTCATTTTATTTAACAGTACCTGACAAAGACAACTCTGTATCACATACGGAAATTTTTACTAGGTTTTGTTTTTATTACTCACCTTTATTTTTCAGGAAATCCTGAGTACCAGGAGCACCTCCATCACCATTTAACATGACTCCACCTATGGATTGAGAGAGACTAAGCACTGTGTTCACCAGGGCCTTTTCCCACCAAAGAGCGAACATTGTGTTTTCTCTTTAAAACAGAACTTGCAGTTACATAGTACTCATTACAACATTAAAGCACTTGTAATAGCCAGTGTTTTATTTTGACTGTTTTATATATTTTAAGGTTGTTTGTCATGTTTAAAACAGCTCCAGGAAACGAGTGCCATAAGTGGAACCATAAATGCACACGGATACACGCAGTGTGGGGGTGTGCACACGCACTCGTACATGTGCACACCTATGTGCCTGACACAGCCAGTCCTGTTGCTGACAGTGCTGCTCTCAATAAAAGACTGGAGGACCACGGCCTCCACCCTAGCTGCGAGCGGGGGCTGGCACGGCTTTCCTCCTCTCTCCTACCACGGATCTCCTCCCTGCTGCTTCTTGAGAACGTGTTTTTGGCCAGCCACGCCTGGGCACTGCAGCCTCTGGATGTGTTCATGAGGGCAGCTTTAGTTCAAGGGCGCTGCTGACCGGCCACGCTCTCACTCAGCCACCCCTTAGCTCTGCCCTAAAGCCTCCTGTTACCAACAGGGCAAGGCACCTCCTGTCTTGCCACGAGCAGGTCGTGGAACTGTGTCCCACAGCAGGGCCCACAGTACGTGCCACAGTACGTGCCACAGCAGGGAGGGCACCGTGGAGCCATCCCGACACACGTGACGTCCCGGCCGCCCCCCACAAGCAGCCAGCTGCCCAGGGAGCTGGATTTCAATGGCGATTGGAAGCAGGCCTGCGTGGCCGGAGCAGGAAATCCTGGAGCCGGGACACAGAGCCACCCCACAGGAAGCAGCGAGGAGAATCCCGTTCACCTCCTCTACCCCTACGTATTCCCAAATGAGTCATTAGTGGAGAAGGATCAGCGGTTGCCTTGGAAAAAGCATGCGGCCACCCCCAGTGCCAGCTGGACAGTGAGGGCCACATTGGTGGCAGCTGGAGGATGGCACAAGGGAATAACCCAGATCAGGACAGTCACAGCTCCTGGCAGGAGCCTTGCAAGTCTTCATGCTCCATTAGCTGCACTCTGGTATTTATAACTGTGCTCAGGTAATGCACAGCACAGCTCTTGTCCGGGAGAGTAAGTAGTCTGGGGAATTACAGCTGTCCCTATATGCTATTTATTTAATTAATTCATCTACCTCAACGTATAGGAGAAAGGGGCAAGGGGGGGAGCACAGATATCCTACGTAAGGTTTCCAAAGTGTTCTTTAAAATTTTTATTTTAAAATCAAACAAGAATGAAAACAGAAGCAGCTATTACAAAGAGATGTGGAAAAAGGAAGTGCTTTACTCTTGCCAAAGGATAGTGGATAAGGGATATCCCACTGTGCTGTGGAGGTGACCGACAAACACCTACACACTTGAACTGAGGAAATATTTTCAAGGAGAACTGACTGAAAATGTATTTATGGTCACTAAAACACTTTAGGTACCTCCTGCCTTAACTTACAGCTTAAACGGCACTAGGCAGAATTATTGATTTCTGTAAAACAAGTTAAAATTTAAACATCCTGGTGCAGAAAATGGTGAAAATAGATTTGCTGTCTTCAAAATCAGATTACAGGGAAAAAGGAGTTAGCTGAAGCTCCTGACTGGAAGTACGCTTTGACTCAGGAAAGTAACACTGGCATCATATGGAATCACTTCCCTACTATGCTGTTGTTTCAACTGAAATATCACAGAATCACACAGGATCACAGAATGGTTAAGGTTGGAAGGGACCTCTAGAGATCATCTAGTCCAACTCTCCTGCTCAAATATATTTTAGCATTAATTATGCTAAATTTTAGCCTAATTGTACTGGGATCAGTATGTTAGCTGGCTTCAGTTTGGATGACCATGTCCTCATTGCTATTCTAAGAAAAACTCCATGATCCTGTAAACAATTATGTGCTTGCTTAGCTTCACCAGAACAGCCTCATGACTATAAAAAAAAAGGAATTTCGGTGGCAGCAAAGTTGTGCAGTTCATCAGTATTTGCAAAATTAGGGTCTGTTAGGGTCAAAATTGGCTGCTAGGCCAAGAATTGAAGAAAAGAGTCGTTTTATGAAGTTTTCTAAGGTGAGCTGACAAAATACTCTTCATTGTTCATTTTGTACATAATCAGGGAATTACATACAGAAGTAGCAGCTTTAGGAACTGCTAATCAGTTACATCAAGTACTTTTACACTATTTGGACCATAGAGAATAATCAGAAAGTGTACTGAATTTTTACAGTAGTTAAGGCATATCAGTTTAAATGAGTTGCACCACATGACGATTGAAGCAGACCTTGCTAACTGACTTTTCACAAGCCGTAATATTCAAGGACCTGCTCAGCAGGTGAAATGTTTGTCCTAAAGGTCTTAAAAACTTGTTGAGCTTTAGGTTTTCCCAGTCATACAGATACATACCTGATTTTGCAGCTGCTCTTGATTTTGCAGGAGAAGTAACAGCAGTAATGAGATTGCACAACACTGTTCCTCTGCTGTTCATTTTCTGCAGTTCAGGTGCTTTCGAGGTCCATTCATCTTTTAAATTCTGATTGAAAAAAATTAGTTAATTACTCATTACATAACAGATTTCAGACTTAAAATATTTAGTGCAAAGAAAGTAATGACCATGATATTTGGGGATCACCTGCAGTACTTAAAACATGCAAAAGAATTGGGTGTGTAAATGGAGATTGCTAGCTCCCCACTCCCAACCACTGTGCAGTATGGCATGGTAACTGTTGGGCAGGCTCAATTAGTGAATGTGCATAAGCACCATTAATAATCAGTACTAAAAAATACCTGGAGAACTTCAAATAGAATATTTTTACTTGTTCTATTGTCTATAGGAAAAAAAAAAAAAGAAAAAAAAAAGGAAGCACTATTGAATTACAATATGTACTTCCTTATTTTATAAGGTTGTACTTTAATGTTATTAATAGATAGCCCACTTCCTATAGCCATATTTGCTTCCCAAATAAAATAACCTACCAGAGTATCTTCCAAAGGTTTCTTTAACTCCTCTGTATTCAGTGAGGGTCGTGCTGCTGGAATTCTTTCTGTTGTTTCTTTTATCCATTTCGTTAAAGATTCTACAAGGAGCTCAAAAGTATCCATTTGTTTCTGACAAGAGGATACATCCTCTTCTCTAGATAAAAGAAAAAAAAAAGAGAGAAATAGAGCACTGTCAGTTTTCCCTCTGATAATTAAACAAAGATATTCTCAGGCTCATACTGCTATTCCTGAATGCAATGAGTCTCAGCTTGCTTTGAAGAGAACAGATAGAGAGATGTGTTTTCCATATAAGCAGAAAACATCCATCCTTGTAACATTTTCATAAAAGATGGACAAATCATTTGTAAAAGAGGTAGAGGACAAAAGCATTTTGTGCTCATCAATCTCAGTGTTTGGATTGGAGAGGATAATGCAGCCACGACCATGGAGAGGCACCCTGATGTCAAAGTGCTTGTTAAATCTACCTTGCAAATTGTGTATCTTCTCCCTGAACGTGCATTGTCCCTGAGCTGGAACGTCAGTAGCACTGATGAACTAAGTGTATATCGTGGTGGTCAGTAAAAGCAAGGACTATATGAAAACTAATACTTCAAATGTCATCAGATCAATTCTAAGTCAAGAAAGCCCATCCCTAGAGCAAGTGGTGAAATAAGTGCGAAGATAATGGTGAAAAATGTATGTGATAAAAGCAATACAGGGACTAGACAACCCTCACAAGAGCTGTGTCTGAGCAAAGACTCTAGACTGGAAAGTTATGACAGTTCATATCTCTCAAATACAGCGTTTTGACACTTTGGTACACTAACTTGAGGTCTGAGAACTGCTTCATTGGATCATGTTGGATTTTGAACAATCATTGCATACTACTGTCATAAATTAGAACCTAGCTATCAATTCCTATGTAAGTTCCAGTTTGCTGTCTAAACTTGATGGCTGCAGCTTGAGTTGTTACTAAGACTAACAAAGCACGGACAGAAAAAGAATCTGCATCTCATAATTGAATGACTTCCTATTATTTTGAATTGCATGACAGCTGCCTGAAAGAAAACTGCACATACCTCAATGATGCTACTGATCTGGAGAGCACAGAGACCAGAATCAAAAATAGTTTAGTCAACATGTGGTCACAAAAACCATTTTTTGGGGATATAACCAGAGTTTGGAAGATCTAGTTTTGCTGTACAGGTTACTGATAATGGAGCTATAGTGAATTCTTCTGTTTTCCTTTGCAGCCTGATTCCAAATACAACTTCAAAGCAACTTGCACAAGCAGCAAGCTGTATTCCATCAGAGAAGGAAGACATACATTTCCCTTAGAACTGACAGGACTCTTGCAAATATCAAGAAAGTTGCACAGGCTGATTTGTCTTTAGAGCTAACATGAGAGCTCCTGCATCACTTACTAAGCAGGCTGAATAAGCACAGAGGTATTTCCAATCAGAAGATCACTCTATTTTATTAAAAAAAAGAAGTTTTTTGCACCAAAGAAGCCATCATAAAATCCACACTGTGTATTAGCCTAAAAGGTGTGAACAGTGTAGTGTAGACCCTACTTACTTTTCCTTTAACGTCTCCTCTACCTCTCGGAATTTCTTTGACAAAGCAGTGACTTTTTCTAGTACCACTGCTTTATCCCCAGGAAGAGCGTGCAGTGAAAGTTCTTCAAGAAGCTGCTGCAAAACTTCCAGATCTTTCTTATGTTGTGCCAATTCTATACTGGCCTCCTGAAAAATAGAAGTATATTCCTCACGTTATCGGTTGTTCAAAATTAAGTGCTTGATTTTAGTGGAACAGTTGAAGCTAGGAAACAAGAATGTCTTACGTGTTGTTAAATCATTTTAAAGAGAGCAGAAATGCAGGATATGTATACAAATGGAGCAGTACAGTACCTGCATATACTGAGACACTTCACTGACGTCCTTTCTCGGCGCCTCAGTCTCACTGAAAGCCTGGTTCTTCTCATCTAAAAATGTCTGAAGTTTTCCTGACAGACCTTCAAACAACTCCACTTTCGTCTTCAACTCCTCCATTTTCACCAGTTTTTCTTTATGCTTGTTACTTGCTTCAGAAAACCGCCCTGCAAGTTCACTCATCTTAGCTTGCAGCGATGATGCAGTGGAGGGATCTGCTGTTTCCATGAACTTCTTCACTTTTTCATTCATAGTGTTTAGGCTGCTTTGGCGACCGGCAATGTCTTGCTCTAGCATCTGAAAGAGGCAAAAAATACTCTATAATGCTTATAATTGCATTTTAAGAAGTATTCTCTATTGCTTATAATTCAATTTTAAGAAGTGGAACTGGCCTACAATCCGAAGCAACAAATGAGTACAGCTACTACACTGACATAATTCTATTTCATCTACAGAAATCTTTACGTGCAGTTTCAGCTCATGCAACAGCCCATCAAGTGTTTTGAACCTACTGCAGGAGCCAAACTAAGATCTCAAGTCTTTCCTGAAATCTGAATTATTAAGCAAACGTTTCTTTCAGAGAATGCTACTTACAATGCTTTTACTAATGATGTCCTGAATAGCAGCAGAATTCAAAGGCACTTGACCTTGCTCTTCAAGGCTCTTTTCAACACCTTCCATCCAGTCGAGCATTTCATCCAAGCCATCCTGCACACTTAGGGATCGTGTCAGAGTTATCTGGAGTTTCTCATTCCTTTCATTCACAGACTTGGATAAATTGTCATATCTGTCCACAATATCATCTGATAGGGATAACCAGAAAACATATTTCAAATATTTCCTCTATTTCTCCTGAAATCATTGGGCCAAACTTTTAACTCATTAACTTCAGCTTTGAACTCATTTCAC